TTTATCTAGGTTTCGAACTACTGGTTCGTCCCTGCCTTTGGTTGGAAGTTCAACAGCAGGTTTGCTGGCTTCACCTGAGTCTCTTAGTGGTTCACCAGAGCTTCCAGCTGGACGCTGAAGCATTTCTCATGGGGATCGCCTTGGAGGGGAGTCCCTCTTCAGTTTAAGGTCCTTATGACTGTTTTTTTCTTTTTGGTTCCTTTCATTTTGGTCCCACGCGTCTTGGGGATTTAAAAGGTTGCCACCCGCAGTGCCCCATATGAGTGGAAGGTATAAATACAATGGCGCTGCCTAGTGCCCGGAGGGGATTGTTCAGGACATTGGCTAATTACCACCCCAGTGCCATGCAGCCCTCAGCATGATGCCTCGCAACTTAGCTTAGGTGGTTTGGTCCTCTAGTGAATGAAACCCTCACAAGCCTCCACAACCAAGAGTCCATGTTCGGGGGGAGAGGGGTGTCCCAGATGATTAATGGAAGTGCGACACCAGTTAGTCATGAGGTTGTGACCAGGGCAACCTACATGAGAGAGTCACCCCTGGGGGTGGCTTATGAGCTCCCCCATTCCCACCCCTCCACAAACAGTTGTGATAAATGATTGATTCACTGATGGGTTATAAATATGCACCATATGATTAAAATATAACAGAATGTTCCAGTGTAGGATAATGATAAGAGTTAGTTCACACAAATTATGCCAAGATTAATGTAAAATCTCACGTGAATGTTACATAGTGAAATATGATTTTAGCTACCTTAAAATTTAATTCTACACAACCCTATAAACATGTATAGAGCAGGTTTGTTAAAATTGGTAGCAAATAAATTAATTAAGCATGAGTTGGATTTGGTGGAAGTCCATGAGGTTGGGATAGGGTTGGCTGGTGAAACAGGTAGTGAGTAATTTTGTATTCAGTGCGAATACATGGAATTAAGTGGTGCAGTATTGACATTTAATTCAATAGATGATCATATATTTTCATCTGAAAAGGACCAACTTATCTGTGCGTAATGGAATTGGGCCAGCAGTTTGAAAAGTAAAGTTGCTTAACCCCATGAATATTCTTCACCTGGCACACTGCCTGCTATTTGCAGCCCCATCTAAGTGGCTGCTGGCCCCATCCTTTGCTGCATGGTTACTGAAAATATTATAATGTTGTGTTTTCTTTGGTGTATATTGATAAATAAAATGCATTTTTTGTCAAGGAACTTTTTTATTATTTAAAAAAAAATGTATATACAAAAATCTCTACTGAATGCAAACACAGTCTAAGCAGGAAGTTTCTAAATATCTTGGAGACATAGTTTGGCTGTTTGGAGAGAGTGGGCAGCCACCTATCATGTTGACAGTGGGTTAATGATGGAATGTAATTAATGTGTAAATTGTGTGATGATATTTCTATAGATGTGCATGCCCTAATATAAGGAAAATATATTATGAAACTTATCACTGGAAATGGGGAAGGTTGTTTTGAAACCATCCACTGAGAATATTAATGTTGACAAAGTTAATAGTGGTAAAGGAGCTGAAAGAAGTAAACACAGCTACTTTGAAAAGTGTAATTGTTGAGAGAGTACAATTTCAAATCATAGCATTAGTGAGTACATGGAATCCACCTGATATGATTTACATCAGTGGATGAATGAATGAAGGAAGGAACCAACAGGTGGTAGGGCTTACTTGGTCATTACACCATGACCTTAATTATCTGCTTAGTAGTCACCTGGCTTCATAAAATGATGTCCCAGGTGACAAAATCATAAGTAAACTACAGCTTCACAATCACATAGGACGTGCATGGCTAATTCATCTTTTTCCAGGCACCTTTTTCAAGTGGTATTATTGGTTAATCCCATTTTGAAAAGGTGTCCTTTCAGGTGACAATGCCCTGTAAGTAGTCCCATCACACACTGTAAATGGTTTCTGTTTGGTTTTAATAGTTTGTAGTTCTTCTGGCAGAGGGTCTTTGTAGGAAACCCTATGCATGTTTGAGTCCTGTTAATTACTCCCAGTATTTTTTGTGGTCTCTGTCCTGTCTCTGAAAGCCTTCTTGGCAGTCCTGCTGAAATGTCACATGCTGGCTCAGGCCCTATAAAAGGACATTCAGATCCAAATGTTGCCATTTGATTGGCAGTTCCAATACCTTCAATACCCCTGTGACCTCACACCCATATCAGTTGAAGTGTGTTATGTCCAGCCAACTTCATGAGGGATTGATGGCAGTTCCAGACCAGTTTTGAGGTGATATGGTATTTGCCAAGTGTTTTAATTGCAGCTTGACTCTCTGATAGAATATAGATGTTTATATTTTTATAGTTCCTCTCTAGATTCTCACCTGCGAATGACCTGATGGTGTACACTTCTGCCTGTAATACTGTGATGTGTTTTCCAAGGCTGAAGCTAAGCTTCTTCCTTGTACCATGACCATACACCCAAGCCCCAATGCCTTTGTCTTAGAAACATCTGTGCAACAGAATAACCCCTCTTTGCTGTCTGGTTGAAACCCTTCTTTCCATTCACTTCTGTTAGGGACCATAGGATGTTTGTCATATACATGTCTTTATATCATTTACCAGTCCTTGTTCATAGGATGCATTCTTCTTCTTTCATGCCCTGATACATGTATGCATGTCCATGTCCTTTGGATTTTGGTTTACAATGATCACTGCTCTAGCTTCAGCCTCCAAATGCGAATGCAGTGGGGGTGGGGGGGGAGTCCATACTCACATACAATACATGCACACACACACAGGCATTCATAAGGAGTGGGCTTAACTGATTTCTCATACACCACAACCTTTAATGCTCTCTTGTGCATACTAATTTATTTTAATACTGCAAACATTAAACACTGGCTGGATTAACACAATATCCCTCTAAAGGACTGGGTATCAGCCATATCTCATAAATTTTCTCCATATGGAAACATGATTTTTCTTGAAGAGTCCACATTTTCAGATCTAATGACACAGCCTGGTAGCAGTTCACATCTCTTTTGGAGGAATGTACTGCCTCCCACTTCAGAACCAAAGAATAAGTCACGGAAGACACTGGCAAGTACCAGGCATGTGGTATATTTCATGGAAACACTGATGAACTTCTACCAGAATGCAGTACTCTTCACAGTCACCACTGCAAGAATCTAAAAATCCAACATGATCAATTTTGCTCCCTCCAAAAGCCAACACTGGCATCACTGCCAAAGAGGGGAGCAAAATTTGAAAAGATGGTGAACAAGGCCATTGGTGCACCCAAGCCAAGTTGGGAGGGATTATGCTAAGGGCTGCATAACATTGAGATGGAAATTAGCCAATGTCATTAATGATCCCCTAAGACACTGAACCCACTGTTGAGGTTTCAGCCAAGGGCAGGGATGAACCAGTAATGAGATATCTGCATGCGGTAACATCAAGAACCTCTATCTTGGGAGCCAACAGTTCTGACACACCACTGCAGGGACACCTGCAGAAGGAGAAGGTCTGAGACAATTAGCCTCATGAGTAAACAAGTTCTACCTAGCAAAAATAAAATTGTCTGGATGTACTGGGCAGAAGCTAAAGAAAGCAAAGGGCAAGCCAAGTAGGAACTGGGGACACCCAGCAACCAGGGCATGCCTAAGCAGGGAGAAACCCCAACTCACACTGCTAAAAGGCCAAGGCCTGAGAGTAGTCTTCTATAGAAAGCAATCCAGCTGTCCAGTGAGGTTAACTGCCTTGGAATAACTTTATAGAATGGGATGACATGGAAAAAGCAGATGGTAACAAACAAGACCTATAAAGCTTCTGGACCTGCAGAGATGCATTCAAGAGAACTTGGCGACGAAGATCAAAGGCAGTGCATTGTGTATACAACATGGTTGCTAAAACACATAGTTACCTATGGCAGAAAACCTAAAGAACTGCTGATTTTAAACAGAAACCAGTCATGGTGGGTGGCTGGACTACTTACAGGACAGCCACCTAAAAGGACACTTTCTCAAACTGGGACTGACAGTCAGTCCTATTTGCAAAAGATGCCTAGAAAAAGATGAAACAGCCACACACATCCTATGTGAGTGTGAAGGTATAGCTTATTTAAAATTCTGTACCCTGGGCCATTATTTTATGGACTATCACGATGCCCCTATATGCAGAATCCTGTACTTCATTTGAAGTGTATGATTGCTCAAGGATTAACCCTTTAAAGACTGAATTCTTCAAAGTATATGAAAATTCAGTTTGTACCTCACAGGAAACACATCCATCCACTACAAAGATCAGGTGGTCAGTTATGGGAACAATCACTGTTTATTGTGAGAACCAGGCAAAACCACAGTTATATTCTGTGGAGCCGAATCCAGACTTTCAGTATGTTAAAGTAGGTGTTATGTGCAGAACCAGGTAGCTTTTAAAGGGTTAAGAGAAAATGTTTCAACCACTCGCTCACTCATGGAACTGAGCCCTTCTTGAGAAGCCGCCAATTGTGCAGCCACTCTTGAATTTCACATCATTTTACGAATCCAAAGGTTCAGTACCGTGTTCACAAGAGCCCTCTACTGATCCCTATCCTGAGCCAGATCAATCCAATCCATACTATCCCATCCTATATGCATTCCTCTTGTCCCCCATTGTGCTACATTCCCTGCCCACTTCATCCTTTACCTGATCGTTCTGATTATACTGGCTTTTTGAACATTTTTGTAACAGGCTTATTTTTTACAGTGAAGAGTGTTTAGTCCCACACTCAACCCCCCAGCTGGAGGACTGCCCCTTGTCGGCTGTCTGCAACTGCTTATTCGCTATATTTGCAGCTTCTCTCCATTAAGAGAAAATGCTTTCAGTTATTAAATGGGTAAAGAAGAAATTGTAAGATTTAATATACAAATATTCAGCAGTGTAGAAATTAATGAATGTAAGTGTGTGTGTGTGTGGGCATGTGGGTGTGTGTAGTCTTGAACTCATAAAACTAAATATTTTGTGTCAATGCTTCACGGTAGTACTAAATGCAACCCATTACTTTTAGGATCATCACCGGCCCAGGCAAGTGTAGCCCCCATTGCCCATGAAAAGGAAGAATCCAGGTTGTTTTGTGGAAAGGATAAGAAGTCTGTTTCTCTCTCTGACACCAGATTAAAAGAACCTGTTGTACGGTTAAACAGGTTAACAGCAGAGGTAAAGCAGATACTTCTATTATGCATTATGCATGTAAGGAAAGCGTTAAGAATATACGCGAGTATTGATGAAATAGATTAAGCTGGTGAGAAGAAAAGGTTTTGGGCAGCCTTTGTTTTTGCAGTTTTACATTTATGCAACTGCAGAATGATATTTTTCCAGTTTTTATCATACTGAATATTTTAATTAATATATGTTTTAGATTTGAGGTTTTCATGGCGGTGACTGAAGTGTGCCATTTTCTGGGATATGGCATCGTGTAGATGTTAATTGAACCGACGTTTCGGAAGAATGTATCGCCTCCATCTTCAGGGTAGAAAAATCCGCAAGCGATGAACCAGCGTGAGCAGGTGGCTGCAGACTCTTGGATTTTTCTACCCTGAAGATGGAGGCGATACATTCCTCCGAAACGTCGGTTCACACAAGTTATACATGGCACCACATCCCAGAAGATGGCATTCTTCAATTCTTGTTTTTTTATGGAAAATGATTTTGTACAGAGATTTTTTATGTGTGTATAAAAGTGGCTTATTTCAAGTGGCTAGGATTTCTAAAACTGAATTAATCAAAGTGCACATATATTTTTAAAGTCTTGCCACTTTCCAGGCTATGACTTTATAGTGGGGGTAATGGTAAAGTTGCCTGTCCTTAATTATTTAAGCACTGCACCACGAAGATGTATTGCAGAGTGGCGGTATAGCTTCACTATTCTTGACCTTGGCACTAGATGGAGGTGAGTGATCAGATTCATGCCCCAGCCACTTTATCCATGCCATTTCCACGTTTTCCAGTTCACTAGAGCACACAATCTAGTTTTGTCAGTCTCTTACTAGATGTTTCCTAGTAATGGCTCAAACAATGGCTGTTCCTCATCCTCTTGCTCATTTCCTCTCTTCATAAACTCCCAAACAGAACTAACTAAACTGACATTATTCCTTGCTTATAAAATCTCGACAGGACCACATAGGAAACACATATTTTCCATTCTTGTGGTCGAACTGTTGCATTATTAAGAATCTGCTGCCTAGCAACACGAACATGTTTACTGAGCCGCTGCCAAGAAGTGGCCCTGGTATAGCCTTCCAGTTTGTGGTCATTGCATAGCAGGCTATACAGGCTACAATTTAAAAAAAAGAAACAAAATTAAGTTTTTACAAGAGCTTGCACTTTTGTTAAAAATGTCTTTGTATCTGCTGTATGTTTCTTGAATTTTGAATGAATTGGAAGTTTTGTGTGATTTACATAACCTGTCTTTGATTTTAGAAAGTACAATTTCCAAATGTCAGTCCCTTCAAAAGATACATATGTAAGGAGCACACATGCAGACAGGTGTATTTATAGGTCTTACAAGAGCCTGAAAGTTATATATCTGTGTACACCACATCCGTTGCACTGGCCATGTGACACCCTTTATCTGCAAAATTTGGCACTGATATAGCTGACAAGTGGCGGTCACTTGGCTGGTCGGTATAGTTTGCTTGAGGACTACAGGCCACGGAGTTTTAGTTGATTCAATTTGAAGTGAAATCAGTAAATGGTTACTTTCTAATTTCATGAGAAACGAACATTCTTAAATGTGATATGAATCTTGCTTGTTTCAGGATCAGGCTCTAATGCAAAGGAGTTTGAGGGAGTTTGCAGAAAAATCTCCAACTCTTGCATGCAAATTAGGAATTACATCAAATCATAAAATATCAATAAATGCAAGTCAGCATCTTCAGACAATCGATTCTGGATCAGACAGTGAAGGAGAACCGAAAAATAAGTCGAAATATTTCAAAGCGAGAGAGAAAGAAAGAGAACTGCAGCGTCAGAAAGGTTTGTTATAGTGGGAATGACTGTTATATTTAATAAACCTCATGGAGCAGAGTGCGTAATAGAAGCTGATAGTCGCTTACCTAATAAGTAAGATTTCAGCTTTTATGGAAACCAAAGTTTTGTTGATATGTTCATTGGAGCATGCCATTGGGCTTACTCTAAGCCAGATCAGTCTAGTTCACATGCTCATGCCCTTTTTCTGTAAGATTCAACATAATTACAAGTATATCCTCCCACTCATATCTTCAAGTTTTCTGTGAGTTCCTTGTATCTCCAGCATGTGCATCTCATACTCCTTGATTTGATCACTCTGATAATATTGTGTGATGAGTACAAAGAATTAAGCTTCTCATTGTTGAATACTAGGTGTAATGAGATTTAAGTTTGGTGGAATGTTCTGCATACATGATTCACTCTAAGAGCTGTGAACCTACCTAAGCATACTGGTTCTAATACTCCTGGAGAAAGACCAGTGAATCGAGTTTATGGGATAGCTATTCGGACTTTCTTTTGCGAGTGAGTGAGGTTCAGGTGGTTCCTGAAGCATTAGTAATTTTTAATCATTTAACACAGCTGATAGGCCAAGAAGATTTTAACAAGTTTGGCTGCCAAGAAAGCTTCAGATACTTCACATTCAGTATTAGAACAAATCGGGCTACTAGTTATATTTCTGACTACAGTACAGAGTCAGTCAGAATGTATTGGGTGGTCTGTTATAATAATGTAAAGGTACAAAATTTAAAGACAGAAAATACACAATATTTTAATGAAACTCTTTACAAATATTCATGTCACAGGTGATATAAGGCAGCAGGGTTCTGCCAGGCGTTGTATGGAGTCACATGTTAGAGAGCATCAGAAGTCTTGTATCTCAAATTTCAATGTCTGTTGAATTTTTAACATTAATATGGTTACTAATATAACCACAAACAAAAATTTCAGGTTTAGTCAGGTTCGCTGCCAAGCAATGGGTCCCCCATGACCATACTATTTGTCTTTTAAGGTTCCATTCAGGAAATCATGCACATCAGGGGACCATTGTGGAGGTGCGCTTTCCTGCTGAAAGATGGCATGATCGCAACCATTGTCTACCTATTAAGGAAAAAGAAAGTGCTTGAGCATGTCTAGATAAGGGCCCCAGTGAATTGTTTCCTTGTCAGAGAAAAAGGTACTCTGTAGCTTGTAACTGCACACTAAGTACATTCACTTTTGGACAGGGCTTCTCGATCTCACAGGAAATGTAGGTGTTCTCTGTTTCTCAGAGAAACAGGTTGTGTGTTGTCCCTTCTGGACACATGGAACACTGCCATATCAGTGATTTTCCACCTTCTGAGAAGGTGTTTTCGTCTCCATCCATCTGTCCACATGTCAGAGTTGCATATTCCAAATTACATTCACAGTCATACAACCACAATATCTGTAGACACTGACCGTGGTACGAAAACATTTTTAGGTGGTATAAGGCACTTTGGTGTCAATAACAAATGACCTAAAAACATCCAACAACTTATATATGCAGTATGTAACTTGCTGAACTTGGTTTTGAGCTTGTGTGACATGCTTTCTTCTGCCGCAGCACTTCTTTGTAATGAAGCCAGTTTACTTAAATGCTTGGCATTTCATTGTAAGGGAGCTTCCAGATTACCATAAACCTGTTAACACTCTCTTTGCATTCTTCTTAATGCATTGAAAATGAACAAGCCATATGATACATTTCCCTTTCTGCTGCAGAGGTGGTGCCATTTTGCAACTTTTGCTGTGGCGGTACCTATGCTGGTTGTAAACTGCAGTGGGATACCTGTTGTTAAACTCCTATATGTCCTTCATTTACCTTTGAGAATGAGAGAAATGTTACCATATTTGTTACAGAGTAACAAAGCGTTACTTGGATGTAATTTACAATGCGTTCAATGATTGAGGAAGCTTGGCAACAGCGCAGAGCAGGCACAACATTTCTCACAGATTGCTGCTGTAACTGCTGATAGCAGAATGAGTCATTAGCTCTGATAAACACATGCCACTAGGTGGACTGATTTTGTCACTACAATAAGTTGTATTAATAGTCAGTCTGTGTTAGAGGTTTATACTGAAATGAAGTTCACTATTGAACAGCATGTATTTATTGTCGAAAATTTTGCAAGGAAAGAAACTTACATAAAATGTATCCATGAGTTTCTTTGTAAATATCCTGATTCGCCAATTCCCACAAAGTTGTGTGTATCCAAGCTTGCGAAAAAGTGGTGGGCCAGAGGTTCAGTGTGTGACAAAGAAGCGATTGAAGATGATTGTGCTGACTGAAGAAAAAGGTTTGGGATATTGAGGCATGGCTACAGACAGTCCTCGAAAATGATTAAGACGCTTAGTACAGCAAACCGGTGTTTCACTAGGATCTCCTTTCACAAACACTAAATTAATCAGATTTCGCCTGTATAAAATAACAGTTGTGCATGAGCTAAAACAACCAGATTATGCAGCAAGAATTCGTTTTTACAAATGGCTGTTGCAAAATGTGCACGATGGAATCATGGATCCGCAGCTTCTGTTCAAGACAGATGAAGCGTTAGTGGCCATGTCAAGGCACAAAATGTAAGAATATGGAGTGAAGAAAATCCTCTCGCTATACAGCAAGTGCCATTACATAGTGAAAACGTTGGGGTATGGTGTGCTGTATGCCCACGGCGAATGATTGGCCCCTTATTTTTTCTTGAACCTCTGAACTCTGACCGCTACATTAATGATATGCTGAATTTGTTCTTCAATCAGCTGACTGCTGAAGAAAGACAACATGAATATGGGTATTTTCAGCAAGACAGCGCTACAGCACGTGCAGCTAATTTAACCATGGTTGCAATACGGGAAGAGTTTGAGGGCAGAATAATCAGACGGGTACTCTGGCCTCCCAGATTCCCAGATATCAGTTTTTGCGATTTTTAACTTTCTGGAAACCTAAAGGGAAATGTCTACAAGAATAATTCTCACACCACTGAAGCTCTGCAGAATGAAATAACATGCATAATTGGTTCAGTTACCGTGGACCAACCTCAGAAAGTATCGTATAATTTATTTTGGGATGCAAAGCATGTTCACATGCAGAAAGGGCTCACTTTCAGCACTGTTATTTAGCACCGTAAGTTTGTGTTATCTTTTTACAGTATTCACATAAATGTGTGCATGTACATAAACTGGTGTGAGGGAATGAGTGACATGATTGCACTCTCGCAAGTGGGGAAGGGCACAGTAGTCATGGAGAAATGTTTCATCTGCTGTATGCTAGCGAGAGTGCGCGTGTTTATTAGCGCTAATGACTCGATCCACTGTCAGCAGTTACAGCAGCAATATGTGAGAAATGTTGTGTCCGATCCAAGCTGCTGCCAGGTTTCCTCAATCATTGAACGCCCTATATATTCTATAAAAGTTATCATTTTTAGAGGTGTATGACTGTAAATGGGGAATGGGTTGGATATAAAATTTATTGTCACAACTCCTAACTGCAAGTAATTACAGCACCACTGCTAATCTCAACAATTTGTAGATCACCACAGCACCTACTAAGCTTTTTCCAGCCTGCTGTAACTTCAACATCTGTTACCTAGCAGTGATTTCGAGCGGTGGGAGTGTTAAGCTTCCTGCACTCACATTGTTACTGTCCAGCAAATGTCCAGTGACTGAACTCTTGTCAGTTATCAGGGCGACTATAATGCCGTATTTTCTCAGCCTACCTTGAAGAGCTCAACTGAACTGCCAATCCTCAGCTGAACTCACTCACTCAACAACCATTTCTCTTATAACATCTCAGCATGGACCGCACAGAAAACACCACTCTTCTCTTGCTCTTTATGGGCTGTTGTCTAATTGTTTGTTTCATGGTTGTTGCCTAGCAATGGGTCTACATGCCACAGTGTATAAGAAGTATTAGCCTAGTTTCAGTTTGTGCATGTATGGAAAAGCAAGAAAGAAGCTTCCATGGCTTATAGAGTGAGGGCATTCAGAATGGTATCATCACTACTAACCCAATTTGTAATTCATTATAGGTTAATTGTTTACAGTGTATATGCTAAATTTTACACATACATTTTATATACAGTATATTTTAAATATGATACTGTGGTTATATTGTGTGTAGAAGGATATTATATAGCTTTTTCTTTTTCAGTATGTCTACATTCACAGTCTTTCTTTCCAGAGAAAGAAGAAAGAAAAAAAGTTGTCATTGCACATCTGGATCATGGATCATCTCTTTCTGAAAGGATAAAGAAAAGAAAAAGAAGTTTTGTAAATCACAAACCAGATGATGCAGTTGATGATAGTGCCTCATGTGAAGGTAACGGACTTCAGATTTAAGTTACAGGTCACTCCCTGTCACCCACATATACTTAATATAATAAACATTCCTCTCTTGGCAGGTTTTCCTATATTGCTTAGCTTGGCATTCAGCAACATCCTTTACTACTGTGACGATATCGTTTCTACAGTTACTATCAGCAGTCTGTCCTGTTGAAAATGAAATCATAAGGCTTGCGAATAAAATTATAAAGTAATCTAGCTCAGTTCTAGAAACAAACCCAATAATTTCTGGCCCTGAAATAGACTTCCCAAAAGTAGACCTGAAATTCAGTATCTACCTGGATGTCCTACATATAATTAACCCTTTCGCACCCAGTCTATTTTCCAAGTACCTGGCTTAAAACACTCAGACAAATTTACCTCAATTTACAACTCTCACTTCATACATTCAGCAAAAATACAATTTTGGTCAAAGACATGTGAAAAATCACACTTATCACTATAAAGGACAGATTTAAACAAAAATAGTGTACAAGCGCTTGCTCACTCACTCACTTATGGAGCTGGGCCCTCTTGAGAAGCTGCCAATTGTGTACCTACTCAAGAACTTGCAGCATTCTATGGAACCCAAAGATTCATTACCATGTTCACCAGAGACCAGTGGTGTGCCGTGCATGGAAGCAAGGGAAGCATTGCTTCCGTAGTTAAGAAACGAAAAGGAAATAAGTCATATATAAATAATTCAGTTTGAATAATAAGGATGTGAATATTGTCATGTTCTTAATATTTTAGCGCATGTTCATGTTCAAGGCCACATACCTACTCCTCCCTTACCCTGCTTGGGTTGACAGACGAAGTTTCCTTTTGTTAATCTTTGTACGAATTCATCTCACCTGAAGTGGCCTAGGGAAGCATATTTCGGTTTGCTGGCTAAGCCAGCAAAGGAATGTATTGTTTCGATGGTTATGTGAAAATTAACTATTTATGTGTGGTTTCAGTCTTTTTGGGTGTTATAGGTAACATTAAGTTTTATTAAAATATTGTAAGTGCATATATATGGCGTAAGATTGTATTTGTGATCATATTTTGATGCATCAGAAAGAAGCTATCTGCGAAGGGGAAGCAAGTGTGATATTGTGGTACAAGTGGCAGGGGAGTGATTAGACTGCATGCACAGGGCACAGCTAAAATGAATGCTGGCAGACAACATGACTACGACTGTGCAGTCTAAAGTCTTTTAAAACGGGGTTTAATAGCACAAACCAAATTATGTGTGAGGAAACTTACTTTGGAACAGTATTCTAAAACACAATGACTATCTGGTTGCTGTAATATAGGAAAATTGTTTTGTTGGCATGCCTGTTGTTTCTCAGTGAAAAAGATATATGGAATAAGACTGGGTTTTGTGATATCAGCAACCTTCATAAAGCATTGAAATGGCATGAGAACTCTCAGACTCTCACGTTATTTCAACAGTGCAACTTGTCATGTTTGGGAAATCTCGAATTGAATGTCACCTTGACAATCAGAAGCGCCTGATGATACTACAGCATAATGAAAATGTGAAGAAAATAGAGAAATAATGAAACGCTTGATTGATATCGTCTGCCATTTAGGAAAGAGGCAACTTGCCCTCTGTGGTCATGACAAAAGCGTGGATTCTGTCGACCGAGGTAATTATGTGGAATTAGTTCACTTGTTGAGGAAATATGATCATAAACTCAATGTTTACCTTGAGAACAGTACAGTATTTACAGGTTTATTGAACAGAATACAAAACGACCTTATTGACTCAATAAGTGATGTAAATTTTTGGTGAGTTGATTGCTATCAGTTCATTTATTAGATACCACTGCTTCCCTTACTAAAAATAGTACTGCACGCCACTGCCAGAGCCTTCCACTTGTTCCTACCCTGAGCCACATTGATCCAGCCCATACCATCCCATCATGTCTCTCCAAGATCCATTTAAATACTGTCCACCCACCTACATCTTGGTCTTACTAGTGGTCACTTTCCTTGTGGCTCTCCCACCATTATCCTATATGCATTCCTTTTCTCCCCATATTCATGCTACATTCCCTGCCCATCTCATCCTTCTGGAATTGATCATTCTACTTATACTTGGCGAAGAGCGCAAGTTATGAAGTTCCTCATTATGTAGTTTTCTTCAACCTCCCATTGCTTCGTTTCTCTTCGATGCAAATAGTCTCCTCAGCACCCTGTTCTCAGGCACCTGAATTAGTCTCCTCTTAATTTCTGCCTTAATGAGATTTTGGTTTGTTATACTAGTTCTCAAATATCTAAACTGTACCACATTTTCACATCATCTGTTAACCGTCCTTATGACATGATTTTTGCCCTACATTCTGGTGAAGAGACAGCAGCATATACTTAGTTATTTATGTGTTTACATCTAGACCAACCTCCTTATTTGTGTCAATTAAAATTTGTATGATTTCTCTTTATGGTATCTTATGTTATCACCTAGTAGATTCACATCATCAGCATACACCAACAGCTGATGTGTCCCATTTAATTTCAGTCCCGCTGGTTTTCCTGAACTTTCCTAATTGTATATTCCAAAGCAAAGTTGAAAAACACTGGGCGATAAAGCATCTCCTTGTTGTAGACAATTTTGGTTAGTAAAATTATCGCACAAATGTTTGCCTTTACGGATTTTACTATAAGTTTTGTTTAAACACATTTTTATCAGCCTAAATACTTTCATGAGTACCAAAAACTCTGTGAGAATATTGTACAATACTTCTCTCCTAACCGAATCATAGGCTTTCTTGAAGTCTATGAATAGCTGATGTACTATCTTATTGTACTCCAATTTTTTCTCCAGTATCTGATGAAATGCAAAAGATCTGATTAGTAGTTGCCTGTTATGTCGAAACCCACACTGATGATCCCCAATAATTTCATCTATATATCGACTTAACCTTGAGAGTAGAATATTGAATAAAAATTTGTGTGAAACTGATAAGAGTGATATCCTATAACAATTACTACACTCAAATTTCTCACAAAATGATAAAATAACAGACTCCATCCACTGCTCAGGCAGTTCTTCATTATTAAAAATAGAGTTAATGAGTTTGTGAATCTGAGACCATTATGTTTCACCTCCTGCATGAGGTGCCAGAATTTGATCACTGCCTGGTGATTTATATATTTTCAATTTTGCAATAGCATTTTCAACCTCAAAATGGCTAGAATCAGGTACTAATGGCTCAGTGTATGTATTTCTATTTGCCTATCATCGCTGACCCTATGTACGACGGGGTACCCAAAAGAAACCGAACTTATTTTTTATTAACTTATTTATTCAAATTTTAAGCACAAACCTTCAATCCACTTCAAAGTACTCTCCATTTACACTAATACACTTGTCTAGTCTTTTATTCCATTTTTCAAAACATTGTCTATCTATCTTTTGAGATGCTTGACAGCGCCTCCGTCGTTTTTTCCTTTCATGTCTCTTTTCATTCGAGGAAACAAAAAAAAGTCGCACGGGGCAAGGTCGGGTGAGTATGGAGGGTGAGGAACAGGGGTCATACCATTTTTGGTCAAGAATTGTCGTACAGACAGGGCTGTGTGAGCAGGGGCATTGTCATGATGGAAAAACCAGTCACCCGACTGCCACAAATCTGGCCGCTGAGCTCCAAGTCATTCCCGACAGCTCCACAATTTCTTCAATGGTCCGTCGTCGATCTTCCTTGATGATTTCACGAATTTTTTCGACATTTTCATGTGTTCGGGCCGTGGAAGGACGACCAGAACGAGGTTTGTCATCAATTGACATTTCACCATTTTTGAAATGGGAAAACCACTCAAACACTTGAGTTTTCCCCATAGCATCGTCCTTGTACGCCGTTTTTAACATTTCAAGAGTTTCTGTTCCACTTTTCCCGAGCAAAAAGCAGAATTTCACCGCCGCACGCTGTTCACGAAAATCAGCCATTGCAAAAACGACGATCACACAAAACAGTTGTCACTGTAAACTGTGCCGAAACTAGTCCTTCCCTTCTGAAGCAACGGTAGTTGGCTTATCGAATCAGGAATGTTAGCTCTATGCGCTCATAGTGGCAAAATGCGGTACTACAAAAGCTCTGCCCACAAAAAAATTCGTTTTCTTTTGGGTACCCCATCGTACATTCAATAACTGAGAGTAGTTCCTCCACCTATTCAAAATGTTGTGGGAATCTGCAAGCAGATCACCATTCTCATCCTTCACTAAGTTACTGCTAGGTTGTTAACCCCTCTTAAATTCATTTATTCCTCTATACAGGTTCTCTAATGTTTTGTTCTTACTCTTCATTGCAAGCGCAACAATTTTGTCTTTGAAATATTCCCACTTTCTATTCCTGAAATGCCTGCTGACTTCACATCATATATTGTTCAAGATTATCCCTTTCGGATCCTGTAACCACTGCAGTTTGGCTTTTTTCTTTTGCTATAATAAACCTGAGCATCCTTCACCGAACCATGGATTATGCTATTTCAATTCATAATAACCTAGACTCTCTTTGGCTGGAATTTTGATGTTCTCTCTAATAGTTTCCCAGGCTATTTTAATATCCACCTCATTGCCTTAAGTTATCCAAAGCTGTGAACCTATTTGAGAATTCAACAAGACACTGCTCTTTACCCTCTGTGTTATTTTAATTTCTCGAAATTGAACATCTCCATATGAACTCTCTGCTTTGTTTGTTTACCCACCGCCAGTCTCTCCCTAACTTTTGCCATCACCAGATAGTGGTCAGTGTCACAATCTGCTGCCATGAATGATTGGAAAATTCCCGGTCTAATTAAAAAAAAAGAAATGCTGTCTTAAATCAATTTTGGTTCCCATCTCCTTCAAAATTGTCTCCTTGGGAACATTTTTTAGGTATTGGTATATATTTTATAATATTGAACATTTTTTGTAGTTAAGTGTTGTCGACCTTGTGACCAACCCCAATGTTGGAGGACATAATCTTGCGAGTTGTCTGTGGTTGCTTTTTCAGCATCATTTCAACCATCTTCTATATACAGATGCTCTTCTTTTTTTTTTTTGTCGGAATGTAATGTCCAAGTCAACTGTCATCTCAGACGTGGATAATAAGGATTTTTTAATTTGACATTGTGTAAACTTGTTTTGTAATATTCCACAAATAGATTACTGAAGTGTATTTTGTCATATGATGAGCTTTAATTATTCATCTAAGATCTGGTATACTTTTAAATGACCCAGTCCTTTGTTCATTAACAAAATAATTTGCTGTGAATTGTTCTGCAGTTTAATATTTTTGTTCCAGATTTGTCATACACAACTACTAAAACCAAATTAAGGAAAGTGGAACGAAAGCTAGTTCCTGTATTGGAGAAGTTGAGTATAGAAGAGCTAATGGAGACTAACACTTACCAAAGGTTTAATCGTTCCATAGAAGTGGTACTTGAAAATACTGAGGATTTGGATGTGACTGCCGAATTAGGTATGGCACACTTTATATAAGATTAAGTTCTAATATGATATTTGAGAATCTTATTGTAATAGGTAATTTTGTCTGGTAAATATTACAGATGAGGAAGCTGATGCTCCAGCAGAAGCAATGATTCCAAAGTACCAGTTGCAGGATTTATGCAGTGAAGCTGCAAAGCTGAAAACCCTTGGTGCTATGGAATCAGTACCTCCAGACAGATTAGTCAGGTTACTGAACATACTGGAGAAAAACATTCGAGATGGAACCAGAGTGTCACCAATTGCAGATCCTGTGAGTATTGTTATTATTGTTCTTTTCCCATTAAATGGTAACAGTCACTACAACCTCAATATTACAAGAGTTTTGAAATTAAAGAAATGAATGCTCATTGTAACAGATACTTCTAATATCCAAAAATGGTTGAATTACATAAGGACATGTCTCTTCCTTATGTGCAGTTGTATAATACAGTTTGGCACTAAGTTCTGAATGATAATGTGGGTGCCACAATATTTCCTCTTTTTGGCAGGTATTAAGAGGATATCAAAATAATGAAACATAGTGCAACATTTTTATTGTGGTTAGCATTATCTGAATGAAGGACTTAAGAGATTTTCTTAAACATACATGACCTGTTCTACATATAACTGACTGATAATTAAGTGCTATGGTTAATGAGTCAAAGCCCTGCTCACTCTTTAGTGCATGTCCACAAATCCAGCGCATATTCTGCTCATAAATCCCTGTATGTGCATACAAGTTGTAACAATTTAATTCCCAGAATGACCCTATGAAAGCAAAATTTGCTTACCTGTGCACTAGCGGCTGCTGCTTTCGAAATGTACTTCTTGTGAAGCTATGCATTTTGTGAGACAATGGTGCCACTGCCAGGAACATTCTTGAAAATTGTGTGCTGGAATACCTCGCAGTTACTTCATGTTGCGTTGGATGTTAGGAATTTCAGAAAACCTTTGTCCTTTCATGGCATTTTTTAATTTTAGAAAGAACCAAAAATTGCAGGTGGCTAAGTGAGGTGAACCAGGTGGATGGTGCATTTTTGTAATGGATTTCTTAGCCAGGAACTCATGAGTTCTTAATGCATCATGCACTAGGCATTGCCATGGTGGAGAGCCCACTTGTTAGGCTAGAGTTTATGCCGTTTCCTCCAAACAGATTCCCATAACCTAGTCAGCACTTCCAAATAACACTGTTGATCCACTGTTACTCCATGTGCTATGAGTTGATAGTGAATTATCCCCTTCCGATTGAAGAAACACAACTGCGAACTGTGAGCGAGACGTGCGTGGTTTTTTCGGCCAAGGTGAATTCTTTGTTTTCAACTGCATGCTGTAGCGTTTTGTTTCTGGGTTGTACTGAAAACACCATGTTCCATCACCGGTAAGGAACATGTCAAACATCTTTGCATTTTGTAAAAGATCAGTTGAAATATGAAGCCAACATTTCTGGTTGTCTATCAAGATTCGAGGCACCATGTTTGTGGAAATTGTTCTCATTCTCAAATCCTTGTAATAATCTGTCACACTGTTTCCCTGTTCATATTCAGTTCTTCTGCTGTTAGTCTCACACCTAATCTTTGATCTAAGTGAACCAAGATTTGTACCCTGTCCATATTTGCACCTGTCCTTTGTGTTTTTGGCTGTCCCATTCTTTTGTCATGTTGCACATCTCACCCTTCCTTGAACCGCCTATGCCATTAAAAAACACTGTTTCTTCATAGCATGTCCATGGTTTATGCTGACCGTCTTACAGTGTATACACTTTTTCACCTTATTCTTCACTTCCACACTACATGTTTCAGCACTAATGTGCCATCTTCAGGTGTCTTTATGCACATTAAACACATGCAGATCCAGCAGTACAACGCATGCAGTAACAGGAGCAAAACACAACACAGAACGCGATACACAAATGTATGTAGGAAGAATGCTCACATAAAAGAGGATTGGCGTAATTCACGTGTTTGAGTGCGACATAGGAAGAATCCTGAAAAGTTTTATTATTTAGAATTCATCGCCCTATATGACAAATACAGATTTTAGTCCTTTTAGAATGAAGACATTATGGCATGCAGTACAATAGTTTAACATGCATAAAGACACCTGAAGATGACACATTAGTGCTGAAACATGTAGTGTGGACGTGAAGAATAAGGTGAGAAAGTGTATACACTGTAAGACGGTCAGCATAAACCATGGACATGAATCAGTGTAACAAGACACTAAAATATAACATTCTTCATAACATGTTCACCATAAGCCACTGTTAATAGGGCTAATGTTTCACTAGAACTGTTACAAATCTTCACACAAAACTTGATGTTTATCTGCTACTCCAGATTCTTGTCACTCATTTTTCTGCCCACAGTACACCACAGACACATAACTGCCTCTGCTGCTTTGTAACAAATAGCTCATATGGTCTGTGGCTCATGTAATTGCAAGTTGAAATATGTGCAAATGTGCCTGTGTACATGAGTTTGCCTGACTTAGCAGCCCAGCGACATGCTGTGGCCATTTTGGGAATTAAATTGGCAGACCTTGTGCATGTGAGAATAAACATGTCAGCTTGTATCAAACTAGGCTAACAAACCAACAAAGGATGCAATTTAAATCTCACTATTACTTGACATATGCATTGCATTATCAGTTCTAAATGTTACAATTGAAATACATGCAACTTTTGATCTTACACACATCAGAATTGGTTGTGAGAGTAAATGTATCAATGCATATTGATGGTGGCCGTGTATGGTCAGAACATGTAATTGAATTTACATGTAAACATGGACAGATTTGTCACTCATCCAGTAACCTGTGGAGCTGCATTGCAGACTGTACTATGTGTGTGTCAGGTGATTAATGAAGAAGGATGCTTAAATAAAATATTGTGAACAGTAGTCAAAGGACAAGTGTATGAATTGTAAGTGTTTGCTCCACTGTAATGCACACAAATTTTAAACAAACCACTATAAGAAACAAGGTAATACCAAAATATGCATACATAAGAATTTATATATTAAATTTTAAGAGGTACCATATTTGTTTAAATAATAACCTTTTTCAGACGTACAGCCCACTCAGATTGTATAATACTGTAATACAGTATAGCAGTTTACATGAATCATTATACATGCCTAATGATCCTATCTATGTGGCCAAAACATGTCATTGAATTTACATGAGAACATGGACAGAGTGGTGACTCAGCCAGTAACCTGTGAAGCTGCATTGATCGCCTTATTTTGTGTGTGTGTGTGTGTGTGTGTGTACATGTGTGCATGCTTTTTTTTTTGGCATGACACATGAAAGGCAGAATAACAGTGCCTGAAGAGACATCTGTTACTAGGCAGTGGCATGGTAAACACATTTCCATAGCAACAGATACACCAACAACAGAAAAAGTGTAGTAAGCTGTCTTTTCTTTGTGGTCTCCATTCTGAGCCTATATAAGGAAGACCAACAGGATGTTTTAACAGATGTGTCTACTGAGAAAGACCAGCCCCTCCTTTGTGAAAGATTACATCCAATTACCAAACACAGAAACAGTCATGGAATGAACAAAAATTTGGTCATGGGGCCCAGTGAGGTCCAAAGCTAAGAATGATTGTGCTGGAAAGAGCTGGCAGCAATCTACGGTTGTTTTGTGCTGTTCTGTGCTATGCTATGCCATGCTGTGCGTTAGAAAGTGCAGCGCCTCCAGAACCAAGTTCTCTGCGCTATCAGCAATCTTTATAGTCGCATATGGGCCCACAAATTGCACATAGCTTTCAAAATTCGTTATATATATGTTACATAAATAAATTATGCAGGAAACAGGCAGAAGTAATCCAGAATCATCAAAATCCAAATGTAAGGGCAGTTGGACAGGCAGAAGCCTTAAACATCGTAGAGGCCAAGCCAGTGACTGTTCAGATATCTAAGTGTCATCTCAGAGCAGATTAAAGAAAAGTTAAGGCATAACCTGCTGCACTGACCTGCGTTGACAGAGGTCATCCTTATATCTTATGTAAATATTATTCGTTATAATAAGGTGTCAAAATTTGTGTGCTGTCCACAAAGAATAAATGCCTTTCCCTGTGAGAGTGCAGGTGTACTTGTGCTGCATTGTGGTGCAAGAAAAGAGGCACCTACCCAGACAGACTTAACCCCCTCCTTTTTTCAAAGAGGAGACCCCATTTCAGAACATATAAACCTTGGAATGGAGAAAAATGTGGCCATGTTCTTATAGGGCCCCAAACAAATATCATCTGTGCTGACAAGGGCCAGCAACAATTTACTGCTGTGCTGTTCTGTGCTAAGTGTTATGCCTGTGCAGGAGAGGGCCAATTAGTGAGTGAAAGCCCGGTTAAGTCACCCCCTGTAGACGAGAGGTGCTTAATACTAGTCAGAGCCTTCGTCTTATCGAAGAAGAGAACCCATTTAAAAGCACGTTAAAGTCTTGGAAAGAACAAAAATATGGTCATGGATCTTGATAGGACTGAAAACCAAGATTGACTGTGCTGGCAGGGACCAGCTGCAATTTACCCAATCAACCGATTGACTGAAGTTAGTCAGTTGTGAGTCAGTAGTCACAGTTGGTGGGTGGCTGTGAGCAAGGAAGCAGGGATCTCCATTGTAAGAAGATGCTACCAAGCAGCGACCAGTGAAGACGGAACAAACCAAGAAGACTTAAGTATATGCTGTAGTGATTCGTAGAGTTGGTAGATTAGTGAGAATGTTATAATTATTTGCAGTTACAAGTCAGGCATGCAGTAAATTCAGCAATCAGTCCAAGTAACACATGACAGTATGTATGAAGTGGAAAGAGAAATTTAGTTTGAGATTCATACCTAGGAATTTTGTGTGAACAGATAAATTATTTTTTCAGAATTCCTGTTGGGAAGAGGGTTGTGTGATATATAAGGTCATATTATGGTTTGATAAATGAAGTTTTTTTATCGGCATGAAATGTTATTTAATATTTGATTTGTCTTTGCAGTTATTATACTAGTGTGCAGTGTACACTCTTGTGTTTCTACTTTATCCCTTCATTGTTTAATTAATGTTTAACATCATTTGGTTGAAATGTTTCAGTAAAGGTGAAAATGGAACACATCTTACGATAGTTCATACGAGTAAGATGGCATTTTACAGTACATCTGTCAGTTTACTTTTGGCTAGAAAATAGTTTGTTGTTTCAGGATGATGATGAGGATGAGATCAAAATGTGGATGGAACTGACAATGGAAAGAGTGATGAGGGCGGCAGATGCTTCACTGACTTCACTGTATATCATGACATCACCAAACATGCCAAAAAGAATTTATCTAGAGGACATAATTGACAGAATAGTTATATTTACAAAATACCAATTACAGAATACAATTTATCCTTCATTTGATCTTGTATATAGGGTAGACCCCAAGAAAGGTGAGTAATACATTGCAGAGAGCTTCCTTACATGCAGTAAATTAGTGGTGGACACTGTGTTTCTAGAGCTAAATATATGCATAGATGTTTTCATTCTGATGGGAGAATCATACTACAAAATTAAAATGAAAACCACAGATAGTGCTGGAGAAATGAAACCTAAGTATTTATTTCTTACCTGCATCACAAGCGGCCTCCGTAGTCTAGAGGTAACGTTCCCACCTCATGACTAATAGTACGCGGGTTCAAATACCTGGCGGAGGTCGTCGAATTTTTAAGGGCAGAAAAATTCAGGGAAGAAGTCCTTCGGGAGGGACTTTAAGCTGTGGGTCCTGTGTCGTAGCTTTACGGCACGTAAAAGAACCTCATACTTCCAAAGGAGGTCACTGAGCCAAAATTGCGGATGTTTCGCGCCCAACAGCAGTCACTAATACCTCTGGTAGATGAGGGAAGCATTATAGATACCTCTCAGCTAGTAGAGCCTGTTTCGCTGGCTGGGCGGGACTGATGGTAAGCACCAAAATGCAAAATATTACAACACTGCAAATACCATATTACTTCGAGTTTAAGACGCATCCAATTTTTACATGAGGGTTTTAAGAAAACTGCAAATAAAATAGCAAAATATTTATAACACATTTAAAGTGAAATGTGATGGAACATATACCAGAATGAAATGGAAATTTAAAGTGTTCACTATATGCACATTCCTTTATGTGTTTTTTATTTAATCAGAAATTTGTCCAGTGATCCTTCATTTGTACCTTTATTTTCTGAAGATGATGCATCCTCACCACTTTGTTCACTGTCTTCCCAAAAATGTCATCTCGCGTTCCATCTTCCACATGAGACAGACAGCACTTTAAAGACAGTTTTGGAATAATATTGACTGATACTTCTTTCCAAGCTTTTGATATCCACACCACTATTTTTGATGATAATTTCCTTTATTTTGCCACTGGGTGTCAATATATGATTGTCTTTATTCAGTCAGGCATGGATAAGATGCTTGAATGGTTTGTTAATTGACATATGAGGTGGTTGTAATTGACTTCTCATGCCACTAGGAATTAACAATAGATCATTTTTTTTAAACCCATTTCTGATTCTGTTGGAGAGTTGGCCATGAAATGCACTCGTTGCAGGCATACTCCATGGCTTGGATAATGCACCAGGCTCACATTCCCATACACAACATCCAAGCCAGGCTTCCCTTAACTCTGACAACATTCATACATATTTTTGGGCCCAAACTATTACATTTTTTTAATAAATTATTGTTAGACACTGTCTTTCTGTTTAATATTACATATGATGCTAATTTATTGCCATTTGAGGTTATACAGAGCGTAGCAGTAACGTGTAACATATGATAGCCTGTAGTTGTCATTGCTAGCTGTTTTTCCCCCTTGAAATTTACAGTATAATTGCAAGGCATGTCTAAAGAAACTGCAGTTTCATCTGCAATGCCAGTTCCACTTAAAGAATGCTTATTCCTTTGGCATAGTCCAGTAACAAGATGCTGAAATTCAGTCAGTTTAATTTCAAATTCCAAATGAAGTTTTTGATTAATTTTCGTCCTACATCATAATGATAAGCTTCCTGTCTTCATAAACATTTCACACCATCGACAACTAGCCTTGAAATATATTGTCATATGTTGGGTGTGTGACACATGACAAATAACTTCATGCCATCTTGGATGTAGCGAATTTATTGAACACTCGCTCCTAGAATTACACAATTCACAATTACACCACTACTGCCATTGGCAGTATCACAAATACTTTTCCTGTAGTCATTTTCATTCACTCGATACAACCCGACTCGGCTACCACTAGACTTCAAATCACTCCAGCAAATGCTAGACTGCAACTAACTGGTTACTCCAGTAATCCTCTCGTTATGTAGCTTCTGCACTGACAACACAGAAAAAAGTTACGCGATAGCTACCACTGTTGCGTAACATCGTGTTTACGGGAGTTGCTGGGGAACGCTGCCGAGAGTTGTTTATGGCTGCGTAGTAACCGCGGTGTCCCCTGTTACATCACAGTGGGAAGTGCTGTTACGTTACTGCGGGGGAAAGGGGCGGAGTGTTGACTGATCTGTTACCGTAGCAGCAGCAGTTGCTCTGATGCTGTTATGTCACTGATAGGAAGGGGTGGGGGTGTTTTTACCGAGCGTTGCGCCGTCCATGTCACAATATATTACTGTTTCTAGTGCATTCTCTTGTGTTTGACATTTAAGCTTCCCTAGTTACAGGCAGTGTTTGAAATATTCTAAAACAGAGCCATCAATCTCAGGATTTCTCCCTTTTCTTTGTCCAGAAAAAAACTTTCTATTTTTTAGACTTGAAAACAAGTTTTGTTTTTATACTTCACACCATTGATGTACACTGGCCACACTTACTGTATACTTTTTACCAGGTGCACGATTATTTGTCTTTTCAGTGCATAGAATAACTTTTCTTTTGAATGTAACTTCATAAGTAAAACACTTTTCCGTGAATAGAAACATACAAAACTGAACACATCTGAACAGTAAGAATGTCAGACAATGACAAACCAGAAAGTTGGGGTTGACTCACAGTTAAAGTTGGAGATGATGTGGCTTTATGATTCACTTTGAATGTGTTTACATCAGGTTCTTTCCAGGGTGTACCATGGACACTTTGCAAACTGGTGAATAATTCATGGATTTTAAGATGCACCCCATTTTTCAGCAGGAAAAAATGTAAAAAAAAATGTACATCTTATGTTCAAAGTAATGTAGTAGTTCAAGTAAACATCACTTTTTCCCCAGTCCTGACTTGTTCTGTCTCATTGGTAAGAACTGTTCGAAGTGAGTTTCTTTGTAAATGACAATTTTTTAAAAATATTTTGCCATTAGTCAGTTATTTGTATTATTTTTCATGTCTCACTTTCTAACAATATATAATTCTTTTTGGTAAATGGTGGTTCATAGTTGAAAGTACAAAAAGTAGTTTAACATAGAATGTTTAGTATTAGTCATTGTGATTAGCAAAAAAATGTTAAAACAAAAAATATTTAACTGGACTGCCTAGAGAGAGAGAGAGAGAATATGTGTGTGTGCGCATGCGCGCATGTTCATTGTCATATATAACTCAGACTGGTATGTGGCGGATGTTTCAGACTTGGGAAGCGGGCGGAAAAAGCGTGCACATGCCAAAGAAGTACGGGAGAAGAGCATACTTACATTGTATAATAAACTACATGAATTAGTGAGTTTATTGGCAGAACTTCTCAATATCCAGGTACTCACAGACACAGCAGTTCTTCATGCTTCTTCTATGGGAGTTGCCCCCTTTTTTGTTGAAAGTGTCAGTGAGCTTCAACTGTCAGCCCTGAAGTTAGTGACCACGGTAAGTTACATATGTCATCTGGAGATGGATGCATTGTACTGTAGCAGATTTATTTTGCTCACGCACATTGAAATTTGTTGAGCAATAGTCAGAACCACTGGAATTTTTGTAGGAGAGTTTATGATAAGTTGTAACATATAACTACTGCATTTTCCTTATCCAAAGATCTCTTTCTTGTATTTTTTATTAGTTTACTGCATTTTTCCTTCACATTATATCCATATCCTCACAATTTCCATACATAATAATCACCTGGTCATTTTGGTGTATTAGATTTCTCCAGCATTATATTAGGCAGGTACCTAAGTGAAATTTTTGCTTTATCTGACTTGAGGTCATTTGTTTTGTTGCCAAGATTACTCTTGCTGAGATTAAAGTTTTGTGGAACTTCATTTCAGTCTCAACATTTTTTCCTCATTCCATATCCTATAATTTTCTTGAAGTAATGCAGAACTACTTCCTGTCATGTTCACTAATCGTGACCTATCATTTGGCAAATAATAGCATATACAGTTACCCAGTTATCACAGTGTTCTTTTACATTTAGTATATGGTATGTTCTTTTCAGGTATGATAAACCATTATCCTGCCTTGCAATTAAAGGTAAAACAACCCACAGTCTCTCGCTCTCTCTTACCCATTCAATAAAGGAGTAAACGCAGAGTTATTCTTAGTTGTATAGGGATGTACCTAACAAGATATATGCTGTTATTAACTTACAGGTTTGTAAGTTTTATCCAAACTATGAATTCTCTTTATTTCAGATATTTACTAAGTATGAGAAACATCGGAGGTTACTTTTAGATGACATATTGGCATCGATTGCAAGGTTACCAAGTAGCAAAAGGAGTCTCCGATCATATAGATTAAATTCTGAGGAGCATATTCAAATGCTAACAGCATTGGTACTTCAGCTTATTCAGTGTGTTGTAGTCTTGCCTGAGAGATTTCAGGCAGAAGGATCAGAGAAATCACAGAATGACGGGAAGGAGAATGAAGAAGAGAAGAAGGATAAGTTGGTGAATGTAGGTGGTTTCCATGTTTCTTTCTGAGTTTATTTCTGTATAAAAATGTGTTTTTGAAATAATTTTTATGTGAGAACATTTTTTCATGTTGAAAGTGAAACATCTTCACCTTTATAAAACTCTTGTGGGAATACAGAATTACTGCATGAAACCTGAAACATTTCCACACTGCCTATAAATTCATCCTCTGTTTTGATAGAAATTGCATAATATTTTCTCTAAGATAAAAGCAGAACAAAGCATATATGAAGAAAGCTCTCTTCTGGGATGTGGCGCTGTGTAGAAATTGTGTTAACCGACGTTTCGGAAGAATGTATTGCCTCCATCTTCAGGTAGAAGACAAGAAGAAATCTGCGAGTGAACCCGCTTGAGCAGGTGCAACAGACTTGAGTCCAGTCGAGTAAACACAGCTGTATAAGAGAAGGAAGGAAGCGAGTGGGGCTACATGAGGAAACATAAGAGAGGGGGGAGTAGAAGGGTCTGGGGAAGTGGCCAGCAGGTAGCAGGCCAGAGCAGGTATGCAGTATGTGTCTTGGGGGAGAGAAGGGAAGGTTAAATGGAGGGCATTAACCCTGTAGCTCAGGGCCTGCGATGGACCTGCGTGGCCTTGTGAATCTGGCATCATATATCTGAGGTTTCTTGAGGGGACAGATGAGAGGCTTCCATGACTTGCTGAGACAAAACCCCACATCTCTGTTCATATTGTCGGGATGGAGTTCAATCTCAATGGCCTCCATAATGATGTGATCCACATAACAGGTTTTGGTGGCGAGGATGAAGGTATTCTGAAGCTGAATGCGGTGTCCCAAATCGATGCTGTGTTCAGCCACAGCTGACTCAGATGTTCGAGACGGATGTGCCGCTGATGCTCCTTCAACGTCTGCCCACAGAATGGCCCGTCTGCCCAATATAGACCTTGCCACACTGGCATGGGATACTGTATGCACCCGGTGTCCTTAGTCCCAAGCTATCTTCGACTGGCCGGAGGAAACTAGATAATTTCTTAGAGACAGGCGACTGAGTCTGGTTTATCTTTGGGCCGACTGATGTTTGACTGATGGTTGAGAACTCTGTGGATTTGCCAGTTGTTGTATCCATTCTGCCTGAAACCATCTCCCAGGAGCACCAATTACATGCAGAGTTTGTGGTCCAGGGGGATGTTTTCAGGCAGAACGGGTACAACAACCAGCAGATCCACAGAGTTCTTAACCCTCGGCTCAAAGATAAACTGGGCTCAGTCGCCTTCCTGCCCTATGTCGGGACTATATTCAACCATATCAGCGAAGTGCTATCCTGGCACAACATCAAATCAGCGGGCCTGCCTCAAAGAAATGATCTAGTTTCCTCCGGCCGGTCAAAGATAGCTTGGGACTAAGGACACCGGGTGCATACAGTATCCCATGTCAGTGCGGCAAGGTCTATATTGGGCAGACGGGCCGTTCTGTGGGCAGAGGTTGAAGGAGCATAAGCGGCAGATCCGCCTTGAACATCCGAGTCAGCTGTGGCTGAACACAGCATCGATTTGGGACACCGCATTCAGCTTCAGAATACCTTCATCCTCGCCACCAAAACCTGTTATGTGGATCACATCATTAGGGAGGCCATTGAAATTGAACTCCATCCCGACAATATGAACAGAGAGTTGGGATTTTGTCTCAGCAATTCATGGAAGCCTCTCATCTGTTCCCTCAAGAAACCTCCAAGATATGATGCCAGATCCACAAGGCCATACAGGTCCATCCCAGCCCCCGAGCTACAGGGTTAATGCCCTTCATTTAACCTTCCCTTCTCTCCCCCTGACATATACTCTGTACCTGCTCTGGCCTGCTACCTGCTGGCCACTTCCCCAGACCCTTCCCCTCCCCCTCTCTACCATTTCCTCATGTACCGGTACTCGCTCCCCTTCTCTTATACAGCTGTGTTTACTCAACTGGACTCAGTCTGTTGCACCTGCTCAAGCTGGTTTGCTCACAGATTTCTTCTTGTCTTCTTCCCTGAAGATGGAGGCATTACATTCCTCTGAAACATCAGCTAACAATTTATACACGGTGCCACATCACAGCAGATGGCTTTCTTCATAGTCACTGCTGTGAAAACCTCAAATTTTACAAAGTATATATGATGTCTCCACGGTAGAACTGGCTTTGGTTATAATGTAAATTTCATTATGTTGCGACATGCGGGCTCAAAGCCAGAATTGTGGCACCAGAAAAGATGTCCATTGCTACTCAGTTGTTCTGTAAACAAGTGTCTGTAGCAATGAATACACAGGCAGCAATAGATGAATTTACAGCGTTGGGAGCGAGTCCGAGGCAGCACCTATTGAAGACAGAAAACTGAGACTTAATATGTGCTCTAGTGAATTATAAAGTGTCTGAATTAGCTATAGCACTGTAATTAATGGTAGCTGCGGTTTATAAGAGTCCAGTAATTCCCATTATAAGTCCAAACCCTGTGTCTAGTAACTAAACATGTGTCATGTCTTGGCTCCAGAGGTCACATGTTTAGGTGACTAGACACAGGGTTTGGATTCTTATAACACACGACTGTAAAGAATTATAACCATCTTGCTTATTTACTCACTGTACAGTTCACTACAGCACACATTGCGTCTTCTCAGTTTGCTGTCTTCATTAAGTTTGCCTCATAATGGCTCCCAATGCTGTAGATTTCTCAGCTTCTGTATTCACTGGCTCCTGCCCTCACTGGCTGGTGACTGTCTCACATCACATCAGACTCGGACTGTTCTGTCTTCTCGGAGGCTTTAATTATGTCTCGTTATTTGGCCTCTCCACAGATCCAACAGAGAACAGTGCCTCTATCAGTTCTTCTATTGTTACATGTATATGTTACCATGGTCACATGAGTTCATTGCCGTGGATGTGTTTATGGAGACATTGTCAACAACAGATGTCCCTTCTGGCTCCACAATTCTGGCCTCGAGCCTTCATGTCACAATATTAAAAAATCATTAGCAGCATTAGTTTCTGAACATTATGCATGCAAAAACGATTCATACAATAGGGTTTCTTGGCACTTTCAGCTTAACTAGTCACAATTTTCACATGATCTTATGGCCTTGACTGTACCTGCAGATCTGCTTCCCAAGCTATTTATAGTAGGCAGTCTGCAAAGGTAACATTAAGCCACTTTAAGTCTGAAAGAAAAAGAGAAGATTTGCTGAGCCTTCATGCAGAGGTGCTTAGTGCATGTGCACCAAGATTTTAGCCAGTGAGAAATGTTTGTCATGTTCCCATCTGAACTTCTCATCATTGTATATTTTGTCTTGGGGCTAGAGAACAAATTAAAAGTAGTTCTCTGGCTGTGCTGCCTGTTATTTAAAGTATGAAGTGTTATTTCAATTATGGCAAGAAAATGGAAGTGCTGAACACTTGAGTATGAAGTGTGAAGTAATGTATCTCAGCTGCTCATCAAAGGGCAACGTAGAAAGACAGTATGGAGGTAAACGGAGACCTGTTCACCATTTTAAGAACAAATACAAAATATGATCAGCTGTTGGGGGGGGGACCAGTGATGGAAACATACCTGCAATGCCAAGACTAAAGATTCTGAATATGTGATCACTGAGTGGTTTTGCCTGCAAAGGTCATTTGCCATAGTGGTTGATGGCTCAGGAATCAAGGTAAAAGCCAACCATTTCTGGACACATTGATCAAGAAATTTTAATGTTCCAAAGGTAGATTTTACTGTTTCAGAGCAGGGGATGGCATTAGTATGCATGAGGTATCAGATGACTCTGCTGGGTTTGCAGCTGATTTGTAATGTAGGGTACTTGTGATTTGGTTCAGCTGTAACTTTGGGCCTGCATGAGGTAGTTGGCAGCACTTTTCTTGTAAGGGACAGCTTCCGATAAGTGGTTTGCTCTGACTACAAGAGGTTACATAAATATGAGAACATCTTAACTTCTTGGATTAAATAAAAAACATGTTGATAATGTTGAATTATTATTTGTTATTTTCATATGTACACAATAAAGAAGAGTGGATATTGCAGTATGTAGTTTTTCCACTTTAGTTCCATATTTAGAAATTAGGAGACAGACTTTATATATGTCAGCTGAGTAACCACTGGAATTAGCTTTATGAATCTGATAAATGCTTGTTATATTGAGGCATGATGTGGCTCATCTGTGAATGGACTCAGGGTAAAAGCTTAGGATGAAATTTGAAATTATCATGGTGGCAGGGCCATTAAGATTGTGGTCTTAAAGTGTGACATTGTGTAGTCTGCTAGTGTTACTATAATTTTTTTTTTATTTTGAGAAAACTGCCGCCTACATCTACGGCATTGGAAGCTGAAGATTGTGGCAGCAGGTTCCTCTGAAACATTGGTATCTATTTACCAGGTAACATTGCATCCCAGAAAACTATCCTAAAAAGCTTAGTATGTTGCATAAGTTAGTCTAAACTCAAGAACGTATATCATCTAGATGTATGGATGGACAGTCACATAACCATGTTATTATGATTTGATAAATGTGTAGAGAACAAAGTTAAGTAATTAGTTTTTAATTTCATGCCAGAATAATACAGTATGATATGCTGATATCTGTTACAGACTTTTTGGCAGGGCAGTTTGAGTTTGATATAATGTTATATTTATGTGCTTTATATTCTTTCATCTCATATGGCAGGTTGATCGTGATGTTTTGATCATCAGCAAGTATGAGACTGCCTACAGAACCGCTGCAAATTTCCTCTCAGTGTTTTTAAACAAATGTGGCAGTAAGACAGAAGAAATTGACTACAGGCCATTGTTTGAGAATTTTGTGCAAGATCTTCTAACTACTGTGAACAAGCCTGAGTGGCCAGCAACCGAACTTTTGTTGAGCTTACTTGGAAAGTTGCTGGTATGTTTGTAACTTTCAGTCACAAGACTGGTGTGTGTATATTATATAGTTCCATTTCTTTCCCCCAGCTAAATATATTTGAATATTGGAAGTTGAAATGGAATGGACCTGTGTGAATGCTGTTAAAGTTGCCACATATCAGGGACAGACTTGCTTGGAAAGCAGTAAATTCTGCTTTAAACAACTTGTAATGGATTTGATGTTGGTGGCATTTGTCTTATTTTTCACTTCTAGGATCTTTTACCTCTGACAAAATATATATTTATATACAGCCCCATAAATGTTTTAGTACTATGCTTCCTGCAAAAGGAATTGACATACATTTTTCAAGACTGATAAAATACAGTACAGATGCTGCATGTTTCATTTCAATATTATAACAAGTGCCTTTTAACACTTCTCCTTCCAGAATCTTTTCAGCTGGCTTACCTCCCATCCCAGACGTTTTCCACAGTACACTACTAGTGGTTTATGATATTTCATAGTAAAAGTTGATATCAAATGGTCTACATATTGAGGGTATTGTAAAAGGTAGTGGCATTCATCACCAATAGATAAAGGAAAGAACTATATGCTCAGAGTGCATTCTGAAAAAGAATTATATATTTCATCATGACATGTTACTATCTTATTAAATATGGTGTGAATTACATCTTGAGATAGTGGAAGTGTCAGCTGCTATGTGGTAACCACACTGTTTCTTAAATCTTTGTTAGAAGAACAGTATCCAGAATAAAATAAGAACCTAGGAGGAAAGATCATGTTCCTCACTGGATATTTCCCTCTGTTTTTACTGGTGCCATCAGATGTGGATGTGACATTGATTTGTGAGTTTCATATCAGCTCAAACCTTTCAGATATGGGCACATTAGTTTATGAATTTATGATTTACTTGACCTTTGTCAGCTATGTTTTCATGCATTTAAATGTGAGGTCCAGTTGCCGTGCTGCACGAAATTGTGCTTTTAAATGTCTTCAGTACAAGTGCATGCATAATCCTAAATAATAATTATTTTTAAGTAAAGTAAAACTCAATGTATATGCTGTTTCATGTTCTCTGCTTTCTGTATGTGTTGTATTCACTCCTGTGCCATCCAATTTTTTCTCCTCATGGTGGGGTACCCCTCAAAGCACCCCAAAAAACGAGGACAAAGGTCACAATTTCACAGCTGCTGTAATGTCTGCTGCCTCATTTTCGTCACTTCCCAAACATATTGAAGGCATTGTATGAAGGAAACAATCTGTTCAAAACTCCTGCCTGCTAACCCAGTATACAGGAAGTAGCCACACTTGGTACCAGAGTTACAGTTCTGCTGTTTTGTTGACAGTAATTAAAAATCATAGCCGTAAAGCTGGAGTTTCGTGCATAATAATAATAATGTCATGTGTTGGGTATATGTCACGTGACAAATAACTTCATGCCGTATCGGATATAGTGAATTTATTGCACATTCGCTCTTACATTTACACAATTTACAATCTCACAACTAATGCCATTGGTAGTATCAAAAACACTTCTCATGTAGTCATTTCCATTCACTCAATATGACTCAATAACAATGGACTTCAACTCACTCTGGTGAATGCTAGACTGCAACTGACTGGTTACTCTCTCTCACTGACAAATACTCCTGTTATGTAGCTTCTGCACTGACAACACAGAAAACAGTTACGTGATAGCTTTCACTGTTGCGTGACATCGTGTTTACCGATTGCCTAGCAAGAGTTGCTGCACAGACTTCCCTGTTGCGTGATGCCGTGTTTACAAAGGCGTTGCTGGGCAACACTGCATAGCAACCAGCGTGCTTCGGCTCGGCATGGACAAACACCGCTTTCCTTACTGCTGCATAACCTCATTTCCACTGTTGCGTAACTTGGCAACCGACCGTTTATCAAGGGTCTGTCTTCATGGTAACTCGTTCCACCTCCCGTTGCCCAGCAACGGTTAGACACGTCACAATATAAATACACTCAACTCCCGATTATCTGGGATAATGGTGGGGATGGAAATCACGATTAATCGAAAACCTGGTTAAGACAAATTTTATTAAAAGTAATACTGTAATACTGTACCTTCATAATACTATAGGCCTACCTGTATTTAAATTTATTCAACCTCATTTTTATGTCATCTCATGGCCTATTTAATACTTTTTTTTACATTACACTGAAGTATGAATTAGTTATTTCAATCACACTGTTCAACAACATCCAACACTTTTTACGAATATTCACATGTAACACTTAAAAAAATTTAATATTGTCATTTGCTTTTTCGTGGCATTTTCCTTTTTACGGATATCCGCACGAAACCTACGTAATATTAGCTTGTCACTTAGTTAACTGTTCTCTCCACTCTCAAGATAGTCTAGTAAGGATTCCAAATGATTAAGAGCAGCACCATGTGATACTTTCTTACTAGCAGCACTGTCCACCTCTTCCTCTTTCTCACTTTCTTCCAGCTCTTCTGACTGCACCCCCACTTACGATTTTGTCACTGCTAAACATTTCGAAGCCCGGCTCACACGAGACTGTTGAATACTTAACACAACACGCTTCCTTTTACACCCTGACATTTTGCTAACACACTTAAAGACCGATACGAGACTAATTGGGGCGGTGTATCTGTCCTTGAAACTTTCCACAAATCCTTGCATTCTTTCACCCCCACCCTAGAACATTGTGTTAGCATAACAGGACCAAAAAATGCTGAGCTCGGTTCACACTAGTGCGAAAATAGTGTTACAACTCACCATGTGAAACAAAAGTGAATGAATGTTAAACAACATACAAGCCTCAAGAAAGCCCCGGATAATTCGCCCCCGGATAATCGAGAGTTGAGTGTACTTTGTCTTAGAGCTTAGGTGTTGCCAGTAGAATAGAATACCACAAAGCTATGAACCTTAGACTAGCAAGGCTGACATAAACTGGCTTCTGGACTGCTCATGTGTTTGTTTTATGGTATGCAGCTACAAGTCACATGACAAGGAATGATTCTGTAATGCAGAACCACTTTGTGAAGAAGGGGGACATCTAATTTTTGCAGTAGGCATAAAAAAATTAAAAAGGAGAGAAAAAATTGAGTATAACTTTTCTTCTAATTATTTTCAAACCTGGTCCTGTATTTTGTGAAACTACGTTCTTTCTTCATAAAAACAAAATGAATTTCATTGTTTATTATAACAGTTGTATTGACATTATTTTTATTAATGTTCTTAAAATTGTTGTAACGCTCTCTGGCATCCAGCAACTAACCCCTGGCTAACTCCACTTTAAAGGCCATTTAAATACGCTGGCATTTAGCATTGAATTTCACTGTAAGTTCATTTTTTATGCTATCAATTGCCATGGGAAATTAGCACTGTGTTTTTGTGTGAAAATGAGTGGTAGATGGGAAAAGTGTAAGGGTACTTAATATCTTGGAAGGAAAATATATTGTAAGAAAATTAAGGTAAGTTGTATGTAATAAGATAATGGTGATAAGCTTAAGCAAAATATCCCAGAACAGTCAGACTTTGGTTATAGTGCGTTTAGAATATTCTGAACTGCTTAAGTCACATGCCTACCATCGAAAGATACAGAAGCTGCAGGAGGTCGCCATAAACTCAGAACTATTTATCTGATATTACATCTTTAATGTTTGGATTTGGTGGTTATATCTCTTTTAATTTTTCTACAAATTCCATTTCAAAATATGCTTAAAGTAAAATTTAAAATAATAACATTTTTATGCTCTCAGCTGTGGACATCGCTTCGTCTGGTTTTGTCCAGCGATGACCAATATGAGAAGTTTAACAGGTCATTTGGAGGCTACAACTTCTACCCAACTATGGGTTGATTCAACACTGTCATCAAGTTAATTGATAGCTTAGTACAGCACCAAATTATCTAACCTTTATTATCATTATTTTAAGTGCTTACAGTAACTAAGTTTGAAGGCTGTTAAAACTCCTGTTCAGAATGATGCCCACCCTCAGACTGCATGTATGTTCCTAATTGTTGTGCCATTGAATGTTGCTACTGAATACGTTCCAGTTCGTTTTGGATAACAGTGGCGGCTTCATATGTGGCTTCTACTAACTTGACACCTTGTTACTGGTTTACCACCATGATAAACTCTCAACATGATCCAGCGCCACAGAAAGAAGTCTGATAAGTTTAAGTTGGGAGACTGAGAAGTCCAAGTCTGTAATCCACCACCATCTTCATTATCTTGGTTCAAGAGTTTGTTTACTGCTATGCCAAAATGTGGAGGTGTTCCATCATTTTGCAAGAGACATGCTTTCAGTGCAGCAGTAATTCATTTTTCAGTGAATTCCATAATACAGGGCTGCTAGACATCCCTTGATAATGTGAGGTCTATTCTGGTTGTTGCCTAATTCTCCACATCACATGTTAACTGGATATCAGTGTTGAAAATTACATTCTCCTTCCTCATGTGTGAATTCCTTCTGGTTGTAATACCATCCTGGGGATATAGAGCCTCATCCCTGAACAGACTGTCATGATGGATTTGTAGCCAAGGTTGCAGCCATTCAGAAAGTCATTCACAGATGGTGTGATCTGGTAACAGGTGTTTTACTCTTTGGAGGTGATATGGACAAAACCAGTCATCTTGGAAATTTTATGTATTTTTGGGTTTCACTCCACTGCTGCCAGAACACCATCATTTCCACACCACTAATGGGAATGAACCAGTCTCCCTCAACATTCAGTGTATACATTCTTGAATGTTGTAGATGTGGAATTCTGCAAAATGGATATTGTTGCCATTATTTTGCCATACCAGTCCTGCCATTTCCATGCAGGTACCATATATGAAATGCATATCTATGTAGCCTTCATTCACAGATGTGTTACTCATTTTTACTACAGTTGCACTGCAGAACAACACGGCAACACTAGCCTAAACAGTGCAGAAGTAGAAGTTTGGTAAACTTACAGCAGTTCCAGCTTGCTTCAGTAGTACTTAACTCAGTAACATTGTTAAATCAGCCTACAGTTTATTGAATATGTGCTCAAAGTGACCTGTAGAACACTTCTTAAGTTCTCCCAATACATCATGGAACACTAGATATAGTTATTGATATGTTGTACATTCTTGTTCTTCAAGAGAAATAGTTAACTGTTGCTTAAACACAAAGAAAATTGATTGAATGAATGAATGAATGATCTCTTTGTGCCACTTGTTTCAGGTTAGCAACTTTGTGAATAAAGGCATAGACATGTCACTGCGAGTGGCTTCCCTGGACTATCTTGGGGTAGTAGCTGCAAGGCTGAGGAAGGATGCTGTTTTGTCTCAACAGAAGTTGAACACCATTGATCAGATAATCAGTGAGATCAAGGCAGAAGAGCAGAAGGAGTTAGAAGATAGCAATACTGCAGATAAGAAAGTGGTAATTGAATTGATTAATTTCTTAAAAATGAGTTTGTCTGAAAATGGGGCTCTGTTTATTTAACCAACATAATAAATGGACAACTTGACCATCTCTGTTTCTGGTTGGTAATTCACAAATGTTCTCCACATGGGCACGATGTTTAAATGAAGGCCTAGAATACAAGGCAGATTCACAGCTTAGTTATCATTGCCCTTGACTACTTGCACAGGGATTGGGAAGTCTCAAACTACAGGTTTAAAATAGAATGAGATAGAAGTATAAGTAATATATTTAATAAATAACAATAATTAAATAACGAACACACTTGAAGTATGTGCCTAAAGATAAATATGTGAAATAATCACAAATGGGAAACAAAGTTGTGTTCATGACAAATGATGACATGAGAGCCAAGTAATCAAAATGGATATATAGAATCTATCATGAAAACTCAGGCAAGAAATACAGAATTACTTTGTGAGTGGCTTGTTTATCACCAGCTAGATCTATGACTGAGGCATTTGCTGAATATACAGTATGTACCACAACAAAAAGAAACAGGTCAGCCTTGTGCTACACAAGCGTTACTGGCCTCAAGACACACACACACACACAAGTATAGTTGAATGCATCATGTCCAAGCAGAAGACAGCTCAACATAGACAGTACAACTGTATATGTGTGCATACAAGACATTATAAAGAAGACAGTGCTGCATGTAATAAAATAAATGAACACAACCTTACCAGTACCATCATCCAGCCATGTGACAAAAGCCCACAGGTCGTGAAATGTCCAACCAACAGAAGTCCAGAACATATTATGAAAACTGCAGTTCACACCACATTAGCACTGAGACCAGAAGAGATTTTGCATGTTGTCACACCAGACACCTGGGAAGTTGAGATTGTCCAGAGCAAATGTATGTACCTAATGTCCCTTTCCCAGAGTGCTAGAAGGAAGGAATTTGTCCAAAGGAAAGTTGCGAGGGCACCGTGTCATAAATCAGGAGAATGAGAATGTGATGTAATAAGATGTCACAGAGAAAGATGCAAGTGGAGAATATCCAGCAGTAGCCACTGAGCTGAACCATTAGAATGACTTACATCTGATGTTCATGTTACAGACATTCAAGCAATGTTTTTCATGTTATGTTTTGTAATGCGTGTTCAGTTTTGTGGTTTTGTGATTTAAAAAAATTAACAATGTCTCATTCAAAGTGACAAGGAAATGTCATTTGATAGTAAGGAATCATTTAATTCATGATTAAATCAAGTAATATTAAATAGATTATGTGCTTATATGGTAACATTCTTTATGGGTGAAATTGTTAGGTCTTCCACAGATAAGTTGAAGTAACAAATTTTTTGTTGGGTATATGTACGTAGGTGAGTCAAATGAAAAACTTAAATATTTTTTTGAGTATTTCTTGTGCACAAGTGATACAAAGCTGTATCACTTTTCAACATAATCTCCCCCACGCTCAATGCAAGTCCTCCAGCGCTTATAAAGTGCATGAATTCCTTTAGAAAAAATTCTTTTAGTAGTCTGCGTGACCACTCATGCACCGCGTGGTGTACCTCTTCATCAGAACGGAACGTCTTTCCTCCCATTGCTTTGAGTGGTCCAAACATATGGAAATCACTTGGGGCAAGGTCTGGTGAGTATGCCGGATGAGGAAGACACTCAAAATGCAGGTCATTGATGGTCGCAACTATTGTACAGGCAGTATGGGGCCTTGCATTGTCATGTTGTAAAAGGATACCTGTGGACAGCAATCCACGTCGCTTTGATTTGATTGCAGGCCGAAGATGATTTTTTTAGGAGATCTGAGTATGATGCACTGGTGACAGTGGTCCCTCAAGGTGTGTAGTGCTCCAAGATGATGCCTTTTTCGTCCCAAAAGAGAGTCAGCATAACCTTCCCTGCTGATGGTTGTGTTCAAAACTTCTTCCGTTTTGGAGATGAGGAATGGCGCCATTCCTTGCTCGCTCTGTTCGTTTCTGGTTGGTGGAAGTGAACCCAGATTTCATCCCTAGTAACGATTCTTGCAAGGAAGTCATCACCTTGTTCAAAGCGCCCGCAGAAGTTCTTCACAAGCATCAATATGTCAGTCTTTCAATTCAGGAGTCAGCTGCTGTGGCACCCATCTTGCAGACACTTTGTGAAACTGGAGCACATTTTGCACAATGTGGTGTGCTGAACCATGACTAATGTTTAAACTTGCTGCAGTTTCATTTAATGTCACTCGACGGTCTTCCCTCACTATGGCTTCAACTGCTGCAGTGTTCTCTGGAGTCACAACTTGATGTGCCTGACCCGGATGAGGAGCATCTTCCACTGAAATCACACCATTTGCAAACTTTCTACTCCATTTGTACACTTGCTGATGTGACAAACATGCATCACCATACTGCAACTTCATTTTTCCATAAATTTCAATAGGTTTCACACCTTCACTACACAAAAACTGAATAACAGAACGCTGTTCTTCCCTGGTGCAAGTCTCAAATGGGGCAGCCATCTTATACTGGTGCTGTGACAGTGTTCATGAATCTTCACTATGCTGCAACCTACAGGCCATTCTGCATGCTGTTTGTAGCACGCTTACCAACTTACAGGATAATGGCATGAAATTTCGATTTTTATTACAAATTTAAGGTTTCATTTGACTCACCCTCGTAGATATGATATTTTGCTGGCACATATGCATCTTTTTATCTTCACTAATAAATACTTTATTATATCAGTTTTACATTTAGATTCGATCAGGGATAGCTCAGACATACGAGGAGCGTTCCGTATATAATGCCTCCTATTTTCTTTAATGAAAACTACAGCAGATACAGAAAGCATAGAGTTAAATAGAGCAAAATTTCAGCTACTTACAGTTATTTTTCCACATAAATACCACCATCCATTATGCACTTTTGCCAGTGGTGAAGAAGAGCCTGTATGCCATGCCTGTAAAAGTCTGCGCCAGCAGAGGCTACCCACTTTCTTACAGCTGCAGTGACAGCATCGTTGTCTGGAAAATGTTGCCCACATAATCCATCTTTCATAGGCCTAAAGAGATGGAAGGTGCTAAATCGGGGCTATAAGGTGGATGTGGTAGGACAGTCCAGCCAAACTTTGGAATGTGTGCGGTGGTCGCCAAACTGGTATGGGGTCTAGCTTTATCGTGTTGCAAGTGAAAGGTTGTCTGCTTCTCTGGTCGGACTCGGGAAATGCGGGCTTTCAGCTTAGTCAGTGTCATCTTGTAGCATTCAGAATTGACAGTCTCACCAGGGTCCAGGAAATCCAACAAAATCACACCCCGCCTATTCCAAAAGACCGTGCACATCACTTTCCCTGCCGATGGCTGTGTCTTGAACTTCTTTTTTCTTGGGGAATCTGGATGTCGACACTTCATGGATTGTTTTTTGGATTCTGACTCGTAGTGGTGACACCACGTCTCATCCCCGGTGATGATGCTGTCCAGAAATTTGCCACCTTCAGCCTCAAACTAGTGCAACAGATCCTGACAGACTTCTATTCAATGTGTTTTATGGTCCTGTGTAAGCATTCGCGGGACCCACCTGGAACAAACTTTGCGATAATCCAGCTTCCCCAACATTGTTTCCAATGCATTACAGCTGATATTAAGCCGTGCACACACTTCCCTGGTCGTTATCCGCCAATCTGTATAGATGAGCTGATCAAGGTGATGTTCATTGTGAGGGGTGACAGCTGAGCAGGGACGCCCAGGGCGTGGTTTCTCATGCACTTCACTTTCGCCACTGTTGAAACGCACTACCCACCGCCTCACTATGCTGACATTTACTGTATTGTCTCCGTACACCTTTAGCTAGTGTCGATGGATGTCAATGGGTGCAATTTGTTTGGCAGTGAGAAATTCAGTGACACATCTCTGTTTCTTATGCACTTCTATATCAGATGCCATTTTGATAGACTGCTCTTCTGTCACTATCTGTCACATGACAACCAAACTAACAGTACATTGGCAGGAAGGTTCAACGTTTACTACAACACCACCAACATCCAGCTCAGATATTACATATTAACACAAGAAATAGGAGGCATTATATACAGAACACCCTTCATATAATGCCAGGCTACAAGCTGGACGACCAGGGTTTGATCCCTGGCAGGGGAAAGATGTTTCTCTTCTCCATAGTGTCCAAACTGGTTCTGGGGCCCACCCAGCATCCTATCCAGTGAGGGGGGTGCAGCTTCTGCAGGGATAAAGCCATTAGGGGCATGGAGCTCACCACTTGCCTTGTCAAGAATCATGGAGCTATACTTTCTCTCTTCCATATGCCTTGATGGCATATTGCTTAATTAATTAAGCACGTGGGCAATACTGTGTTGTGTTTTATTTAGACCACTGTATATTCACACACATATGCCCTGGATAGAACATTAATGCTCCTGATGTGTATTCAAGAGATGCTTGTTTTGAATCTTGGATGTGACAGCAGTTATCCTGTGTAAGGCGTTTTGTAGTTTTCTGCAGTTCCTCTGTGTGAATGCTAGGATAGTGACTCAAATTGGGCCACAACTTCTGCGTGCCAAATTCTTTGCAGTTCAGTTTTCATTCATCATCCTATTATTTGACATTACTGCTGATGCCACTGTTAAATGAGCCATGAATAAATATGGAGACATGCACTCATGCACATGTGCAAATACAGAAGAACAGTGTGTGTGCATGCACATGCACACACACACCCAACCAACTAGAGTTTGTTACAGTTTATCTTTCAAGGACCCTGGTATGAACTTCTTATGGATCTGAAAAGGTTTGTGACAGTGGTTGGTTCAGTATATGAATATTTTGTTAAAATTTTCCAGTGTAGGTATATTTAGTATTCATGACATTTCAGGGGTTGGCTGTATTCCCATGTTCAAAGTGACTTTTTTTTTTTTTTTTTTGCTGAAGGTTGGGGTCAAATCCAGGACATTTCAGTATTAGGTCACTAAGCTAACCCATAGATCACTGGGGTGACACAGGAATGGTTATGGTTATTATGGCAGTTGTGGTTGTTTTATCTGTTTGGTCACTTACCCTTAGTGAAGGAACCATGTTACACTCATATCTAGGTTTGGGTGTGCCTTTTTCTTGCTAGTTTACACTAGTATATTTCTTTCATTTTTGTGTTGCATTTATGTTCCGTGGTTCTGGTGTTAGGTGATTGAAACAACTTCCAAAATATTATTCATATCGATTATACCTGAGACATTGAGCAATATGATACTGTATTACTTTGAATATGACACATTTAACACGTTTCTTTTCTCTTTGAAAAATTGAGGTGCATCTTAAATTCAAGGAATATGCACCTTTCTAATTTTCCTTCCTAAATCACACCTTCATAAACTGGATTAATATTAAATTTGAGGATGTCTTATGTTCAAAGTAATACGGCATTTATATGAAACTTTATGTTTGTGTATCTGCAAACTTTCAGCATTATATGTTGAATTTTAGGACAGAGGACTTGAAGAGCTTGACTATGAAGAAGAACGTACGCAATTCTTGCAACGGGTGTTACTGGACTATCTAGCTGTTAATGGGCAAAATGATCAAGCACTGACATATGCCAGACATTTCTATCTAGCTCAGTGGTACTGGGATGCTGATGCTGAGAAAAGACGTCCGTCCAGTGGAGGAAAACTTTCTCCCAGCAAACTACTCCTAAGAAAGAAAAAGATGAGAAAGAAACGGAAAGGTTAGTCACTTTGCGCCTCCTGATGGTGGAGAAGCACTTTCCAATCTTATGCTGGAAATATTGTAATATATAATTTTGCTTGTTGGGCTCCAAATTTGGTAGGTTTTTGGCATGGAGTTCTATGTAAATTATACGCACACTTTTTATTGTATCTTGCTCTGCATGGTTTAAATGTTTTGAAATGGAGATTCAATCTAATTCTAATTGGTGCTCATATATAACTTCTGAGCACAGCAAACAATCAATCTGGCATGAACTTTGATTTTCATCAAGAGTTGCATTTCAGTTAACAGTCTTGCATCACACCAGGACTTCCACAAGCTGTAGAAAGAAGGGACTGGCTGGTTAGCAAGTGATCTGCATATTGGTCAATGAATCAACCATTCTTATGTTAACTAGTTGCTGTTGCTCCCGAGGTTGACCAGTACTGCACTTGGGGTACAAGAATTAGGGTGTAATATTCGTGCTTCATGTGGTTTTTGTCAGACCCATTCAATGTTTATCTGTGAGGAAGAGTCAGTAAATAGGTCACAAATGGAAGTAAAACTGTTGTAACAGACGTAATAGGTTTTCTATGTGTATCACTAAGCAGCAGCACAGTCCAGCTTCATGACAGCCTAGGTAGCAGATGTGCATGTGCGTTCAGAGGCTGATTTCAGTAGTCAAAATGGCGACCATGGTTGAGGAGGATGCTGCTGAGGAGCAGTGTTCCAGTGTGCGTTTTTTATGGGCAGAAGGACTCAGTGCAAAGGAGATTCATAAAGAAATATTTCCTGTTTATGGTGAGAAGTGTTTGTTACATAAAGCTGTTCACAGATGGGTTGAAAAATTCTCTCAAGAACGTTTGAAAGTTGTAGATGATGCCTGACCAGGTTGCCCTGTTGAGATTATGTCAGAAGCAACTGTGCATTGGGTGGAAGAGATGATTTGACCTGACAGAAGGATAATGATAGACATTGTAGATTCTGCACTGGGGTGTTCCCGTGGTTTAGCATACAGGATAGTGCATGATCATTTGTAGTTTCGGAAAGTGTGCTCACAGTGGATGCCCAGACACTCGGGAATTGAGAAGAAATTAACTGAATGGGTCTGCCCTTGCCATGTCTCTCATGGTATGCTGATGGAGGAGAAGTGATGCTTAACAGGATTGTTACTGGGGACGAATCATGGGTGCATCACTACCAAATCAAAGTGTGCTTCAATGCAATGGAAACATCCCAGTTCACCTTCAACCATAAAGCTTAAGGTTACACCATCAGCTGGGAAGGTTATGCTTCCCATGTAATGGGAGTCTCAAGGACTACTGTTAGCCCATTTCCAGAAGCATGGTGAAAATGTGAGTTCTGCATTGTACTGTGAAGTTCTATTGAAGTGTCGGGATGCAGTTCACAGAAAACGTCCAGGCCAACTGGCAAGAGGGGCACTGCTTCATAATGACAATGCCAGACCCCATACAGCCTGAGCAACCCAGGAGAGAATTCAGGGAATATGGTGGGAGCTTCTTCAACATCCGCCTTACAGCCCTGACCTGGCCCCTAATGACTTCCTTCAGTTTGATCTGCTAAAAAATCATGTTGGTAGCAAATGTTTCACTGATGATGAAAAGTTTTGAAATGGAGATGTGGAAGTGACTGAGACAGCAGTCAAAAACTTCTGTGCTGTGGGTCTCATCTCATTGGTAGAGCAATGGGACAAGTGTAGCAATGTCACTGGAGGATATGTCGAGAAATAAATGTTTTTTCCAAGTCTCAATATTACACGTTTTATATTTTATATATTGTGACATGTTGCGCAAAGGAGAACCCCCCCCCACCGGCAGTGACGCAGCGGGTGAGTCAGCGCTCCCCTCCCACTCCTCCGCACGGTAACGTAACGGTGACGCAACAGGATTGTTACGGTAGTAACAGCGGTTACTACCGCTAGCGTTGCTAGCAACACAGCGCCAGGCAACAAGGGTGCCTATTACGTGGCCGTTTTCCGTATTGTCTGATCAAGGCTACATAAGGAGCAGCGAAGGCTATTCCCAGTTAGTTGTACTGAGTCAGTCAGTCAGATAGTCCTGGAGCTACCTACGAGTCAGTCCTCGAGCTACCTCCGAGTTAGTTCCGAGTTAGCCAGCAACCAGTCAGTTGTATTCTGGCATTTGGAGTATAGTATTTGTGATACTGCAGATAGCAGTAAGCGTAAATCTGTAATTTGGGTGATTGTAAGTGCGAATGTGAAATAAAATTCACTACATCAAATACCTGGTGAAGTTATTTGTCGTGTTATACGCCCAATGCGCGACAATATATTAGTAACCTGTTTACGGACTCTCCCTTGTATATCATTGCTTGTTTTTCCCCTGTATCAGTACAGTGCCAAAATAGAAATACGCAACATACAAGATTCACAAATAACAATAAACATATTGTAAATCAACTTAAACATGCAATGAATGTTTTTGACATTACACAGTTTTCATAGTGAACATATCTTATCTTGTATCTTAGTCAAATTTGGTGTTTACATTTCAGATGAAAGCAGTGCAGAGGAAAGTTCAGGATGTTCAGAACTTGATGACGATGAAGATAATAAAGTGCCATGGCAAAGTAATGAACATAAGAATGCCTCACTATACAGGTTGATAGAAATTCGAAAACAGTTCCTTGTGAGCAAGATTCGGCCATTTCAGGACAGTGTTGGTGCAGGAAACAGAACTCAAGTTCTGCAAACTTACATTGATTATGAAAGTGCAGAACTTATTTCACGATACTTGGCGTCCAAGAGGCCTTTCTCACAAAGTTTTGATAGGTATCTTCAGCAGGTCAGTAAAGTTATACAGGGAGGCTACTTGAAGGGCTGCTGCAAATCATTCAGCCATTCAAGGGAAGTTCCACATGGTACCCACATCATGCTAGTTCACCCATATTTGAACTCATGAAATGATTGACAAATCAGTAGTCTAGATGATTTTAAAATGTCTCCATATCAACCCATTAGGTCACTGAACAGCTGGTATCAAGCAAGTTCTCTCCAGTAGCAACCCAATAAATTACTAAAATGCTGGCATTAAGCAAGTGCATGCATTATGTGCATGGTCACTTATAAATTCTGAATCTCTTGTTGCTACTCTTAATGTATTTGACCTTTGTCATTAGCAGTCATGATTCAATCATGTTGTTTCCTGTGTTGAATTGCCATGGTAGATTTACACATTGTAGCAACGAGTGTTCATGTAAGATAATTGTGTGAAAAGTGGTGTAAGACGAGTAAGTAATTTAATAAGCTTCCGGGCATTGCAGTTCTGAATGAAAAAGATTTTCTCTCGGTCTTGAATAAACTACAGACAGGGTCATTATTGAAAAAATTAAAGGTACCAACTCAAGACACTGAGTGCTCATGGAAGAGAAATTGGATTAAATTGGTACCAAGCTGGAATGCCCCAGTAGAAATTCCTTTAGACATAGTGCATATGAGACAAGGGTTCAGAGTTAGTTTCAAGTCTGATCTGGTTCTGAAGATGAACTTCAGTGTGTGTGTGACCGTTTTGTGAAGGTGTAATGAATGCACTCATAACAACAGGGACCGTTTTCTGCATCTTCTGTGATCTTGGTGGGTTCTGTTTGTGATTTGTTCATCTGTGAACTTAATAATTGCACTGTGACCCTAAACACATGGCGAAGAGTAGATATTAGGAGCTCATCTCTCTTCTGACAGAGTGGCTGAATGGTTTGCTGCATGCTTTCGAATGATCTCCCTGTATTTTAAAGGCACTTGGAGAATTCTCATATGGTTACTGGTTGTGGTTGTGCCTGGTGATCTGAGTGAGTAGTTCTTTATTTATCTTATCAGTATTATGTGCACTACAGTTAACAAGAACAGTTAGTTAATGCAGTTCATGGAAACAGTTACTGTCTATTCCAAGAATCACTTTAAACATATTATGGTATATGGACCCATTGCTAGGCAATGGCAGCAAAACAAACAACAAGGCAACAGCTCTGAAAATATGCAACAACCTGGAGCCATTTCTAGGAAGCAGCTTGCCCACACCAGTGGAAGTACTATTGGAAGTCGTGTTTTCTGTGGGTCCTCTTTGGGGCTGTACTACTTGACCGACCAAGTTGGAGTAGTTAGTGAGTGCAGTGCAGTGCAATGAAGTGAAGAGGTTGATGAGTTAGTCAGAGAACTGCAGTTCAGTCGTTTCGATCTGTTGTTGTTAGCAGCTAGTAGGTAAGGCATGGGAATAGTTTGGGAACGCAGAGTAAGGGAACATTGGCAGTTGGAAGCCCTTACGTGGCAACAACTGGTGAAGACAGCAGAATGAGAAGACTTAGTACATGTTGTAGTGAACTGCAGTGTGTGAATTAGCAACAGCACTATAGTTAGTTGTGGTTACACTCTATAAATGGTCAATAAATCTAATTACTAATCTAAACCCCATCTGTAGTCATTCCATAAAATTGTGACAGATGGTTTCAGAAGTGGTTGGATTGGAGACCACAGGAAGAAGCTATGTTGTGACACTGTGGAGATGGAACAAATGATGACACACCTGCTGGCCAAAATAAAAATCAAAGAGGTCACCTGAAAGAATAATTGAAGCCAGCCAAAAACACCCAAAGAAAGAAATATGAGCTGGCCAAGCACTCCTGAAAATTGACACCACCCTTTTGGAGGCCAGTTGAGACAAGTTGGGGGCTGCAGTTGAGCAGCAGGACGTCCCTAAGAAAAATGCCACAGTGGAAACTATCATAACACTGGAGGACCAATCTGGGGACTGGTGTTTAGCCATAGGGCGCCAGTGACAGCCAAAGAAATAGACCCAGGGCAATGGTGGGTCTTTGAAGAAGTTGGCTGCTGCCTGCAAATGGATGATATACCATGCAGTTCCTGCACGGCATAAGGGACGCAGTCATAAAGGGACTGAGGGTTGAGAAGAGGTGACAGAAGGACTCGGAATGCAACAAGGGCATATAGAACTGAGGCCTGAAACAGTAGCTCTGCCTGGGAAGCAAGGAGACATTTTATGAGGCCCTCCATGAGGATTAAAAAAACAAGGCGGTAGTTCAGGAACCCAGAATAAGGGGAACATCCGCCATTGGAAGCTGTTACCAGGCAGTGACTGCTGAAGACATGGCAGACTGAGAAGGATTAACCCTTCACCGCCGGCAGGCCTTTAAATTTCTACTCAACTCCTATGCCGGAGGGTATTTAAATATTTAGATTGAGGAGTCCAACATTTCACATATAGTGTAATAAATTGGTAGAAACTGGAGTTTTCTTTTTCTAATTTTCACACTACATTCAGAAATGAATATAGAATCAGTGTATTGATGCACACTGCTTTAAAATAATTTTTTTGGCACAGTAAGCCTATAAAAATGAGGAATGATAGAATCATATTACCTTAGAAGTTCAGCTGTGTCTGTTAGTCATGAAAACATTCCATACAGAGTCCCACGTCACGCATGTACCACCAGTACACAGTTTTTGACACACAACACACCATTTCTGTGGTTTTGATTTCTTTGCAGTTGGTGGAGTCTTGGTTATAAAATTTTTTTCTCTTAGATGGGACACTGTTTTGTCTGACGAATGTCAACCTGGCACTTATGTTCTACAGCATTAGCATATTTCACATAGAGTCCCCCAATTAACACATCACACACCGCCGATTTGAATACTTAAATCACCCTGGGGACCGGCATTATTAAACCTACTATCCTAACTTGTGCACTGTTCACTTTAAAAATTAATATAAAGTCTCCTAATTAATTTTATGAACTAAAATTTTTTGAGAACACGTACCAATGCTCCTAGAAGTGCTTGAGACTGTGATATTTCTGGAAACATTCCCCTTTGTGAAGTGCCGTTACACAGAACTTGCAATGTAGACAGTCATACTCCTTTTTTGTGAACTGTGCAAACACGGCATTGCCTAGAACGATGCTTCCTCTTGGAATGTTCACTCTTCACAATTTTCACGAGGGTATGTTTCTGCATATCACCTGAGAGTTGCCCTGGGGAGTCCACATGAGGCCTGCATGGGGTGGGAGTTGAGGGGTCTGGTCGCACTAAGCCTGTTTCTGACTCTGGTTCCGCCACCACCATCTGGTCTGTAGCCAAGGCCTTTGACACATTCATGAGAAATGCTTTGTGTTTCAATTTTGAATCAGGGTTTAATTTTTTTTTTTTTTAGATTTTTTGCTGTCTCCACAATCTTACTACCATTTTCGTTGGAGCTACTGTCACTTTTACTGTCTGTGGCCACAATTCTTTATTGTCCCCTGTCACTGCCACTTTCTGAGTCACCACCGCTACATGTCTCACGAGGCACGTAAGCTAGCTCTTCGGAGAAGAATTCATCCTTGATCCATATTCCACTACTAACTTGCTGGCTGTTAAGCGGCCTCCGTAGTCTAGGGGTAATGTTCCCACCTCGTGACTCAAGGTGTGCAGGTTCAAACCCGGCAGAGGTCGTGGAATTTTTAAGGGCGGAAAAATTCAGGGAACAAGTGCTCCTGGAGGGACTTTAAGCCATGGGTCCCGTTTCGTAGCTTTACGGCACGTAAAAGAACCTCATGTCCCAAGGGGACCACTGAGCCAAATTCAGGACATTTCCTGCCCAACAGTAGTCTCTAACGCCTCTGGTAGATGGGGGAAGCATCGAGATACCACTGAGCCTGTAGAGGCCGAACTCGCTGGCTGAGTCGGGACTGATGGCACGCACCAGTACCGGTAGGGAATAGAGACTGGTAGAATATCATAGAGGGTCGCACAATGGACCAACAGTTGGTCTAAGTGCATGGGGAAACCCAAGACCGACAATTCCTTTGGAATGGGTTAAGATAACAGTGAGATCATGTTACTGAATACTAAGCAAACATTCCGGAGTCTTATTACCCAGTAGTCATGCAGCTGCATGGCAAGAGAGCAAGGTATAGTGTGTTGCAACCTAACGTATCCTAAAATCATGATATCATGAGACCGGTCTGTCACGTTTAAAAGTGTAAAGCATGATATCATGCGGCCAGTCCTTCAAGTGTTAACTGAATCCTGATTGACAATTGATCTGTCCTTTTCCTTGTGTTATTCCTAGATGTTATCACCTTCAGAAATTTTCTTTTTGTCCCTTGTAGTTTTGCATATTCTCCCTGTGGATGTTAGTGCTTTTCTCGATCTGTCATTTACCAAAGAATTGAGAAGAGGACAAACATCCATTTTCAGTGTCTAATTCCAAATATGGTAAAACTTTTGTTCTGATTCGGTTTGCATTAGATATATTCTCCACTGTTCATGACACAACACAGCTGGCCAATTTGTTCCTTCTAGCCTCAGCTAACCACACTGCATGATGCATATTTATAGAACAAAGGGGAATTACAGTAGTACCATTCATATAGTGAACTCTTTATAGTAGCAATTATAGCACACCTCTTAGAGTCAACGTCATGTCTCAAAGTTGTAGATTCTCCACATATCTTCTGGTAGTTACAAATACCAATGTTAAAGCAGCACAGTTCAGAATATGCCTCAAGAGAATCAAATTTTCATTTGATCAGCATGGAGGATAGCACACAGTATCGATCTAACATATTTAGTTCATAAGAATTCCTGTAGGCAAACGTAGGTTTGTATAGTAACAAGCGCACCAAGTGTTGAAATAGAGAACTCTTTAAAAGAATCAAATGTAGTACAACTCCCATGGGAAGTTCAAAGTGGGACAATGAATATACAAAATGATAGCCTGAAATTTCCTCTTTAATTTCATTCCAAAAGAATTACTTTACATGAAAAAAAATGGTTCAAAATACGAGCTGAAACTTAATGCCACAATATGCGTGCCCCATACTGACTCCGGCGACGTGACAGAAGGCGCTGGCATGCAGTGTACTGAGCCCGGCACTGAAGGGTTAATATATGCTATAGTGAACTGTGGAGTGTCTGAATGAGCAGTAGTGGCGTAATTTCTTGTAGACACTAACTTCAAGTGGTCAGTAAGTCCAATTACCAATCCAAATCCTATCTGTAGTCACTCATACACGTGACAATATGAATACAATCTTGTGTGAAAAATGCAAAAGTTTTAACACTTAAAGTAGGTGATACAGTTAACTACTGTACTTGAAAGATTAATGTCTGAAATAAATAATGCCTACACCTTACAAGCTTCCGTAAAGGAAACTCTGCTGTAGATCCTACTGAGTTGAGTGTGTGCATATGTGCTTGCTTGCTTGCATACATACTTACAATTTTGGTCCATCCTGCAGCAAAATGAATGAATCTATGTAAGGAAGTTTTGTTGTATTAAATAGGGATCTGTGCAAAATTCTTATAAAGAAACTTTTTCTTTATATAAAACTTGTATATAATTATGATAAAAAAGTCTTTATACAGAGAACCAGATTCTACATAAATAAGTAAGCTATTTAATCAGTAATATAGGATTATGTAAGATTTGAGGCTTTCACGGCGGTGACTATGAAGAAAGCAGTCTTCTGGGATTTGGCACCGTGGTTCCTCCGAAACGTCGGTTAACACCACATATACACGGTGCCAAATCCCAGAAGACTGCTTTCTTCAATATAGGATTAATTTCTGAAATATTTATTATGTTAATTAAATGCTGGAAGAACTTGAGTCAAGAATTACACCAAGTTTTATGCCACAAGTGCACGTGATAAATAATGGTAGAGTTAGAATGTGAATGTTGTGACATGTAGAGCTATTTCTATGCAACACCCGAAGTATGCACAAGCAGCAATAGAAGCAGGATTGCAAGAGGTGCTTTTATGTTGTTCACATATAGGTAATGGGCCAATAAACACATTCTTGACAACAAAAGAGATGTTTTCTAAGTGGTTCGCATATATACATTGCTGAATAACAGGCCAATAAAGACACATTCTTGATGACAGAAGAAAATGTTTTCCATTGTGTCCATGCCAAGGGGTTATCTTGAATACAATCGGTGCTACCGTCAGTCATTTGTACAGGAGTTCATTTGATGGTTCAGCTATGGAGTGTTAACCAGCAAACAGCAGAAGCTAAGGTTTATTACTAGAAAACATCCCGTGGAGACACGCCAGAGGAATAACCAATATGCAGAGGTGCTACCGAGTAATGACTAGTGAAAGTAGATTGAGAAGACTTAGGGTGGAGTGATTTGTAGTGTGGAAATCAGCAATAGTGTAATTTTTTTTTTGTAGTTAATGACTGGTAAGTGGTTAGAAAATCTCTTCACCAATACAAACCCTGTTGATAGCCACCCTTGTACCTGACAATTGGTGTCAGAAATGGTATGATCAAATTATTGGATTTATGATTGCATAGCATAGTTATGTCACCACATTATGGAGATGGAACAAATGATGGAGAGGCAGATAGGTTCTCTGAAGGCAGAACTGAAAGCCATTTGAGAAGAAATGATGACAAGGTTGGGAGCCAAGATATACATCAATCTAAGGTAAATCATAGAAGGAATGAAGGAAAGCCAAAAAAGATGAAGCCGACCGAGAAATGATGGAGGCATGTCTGGAGGGCAAAGAGTGAACCTCAGGTGAAAGTATGTCTGTGGTGGTGCATGAGGAGGTCCCTAAGGAAGATGCAGCAGTGGAAAGTTGCATAGGAGCATAGCCAAAAGCTGAAGGAATGGACCCAGGGACATTGTGGATCCTGGAAGAAATTGGCTGCTACCGGCAAAGGGATAACCCGCTTTACAGGAGTGACACGACTCAAGGTACATATCGTTAGGATGAATCAAATGGAAGTCAAGGATGAACAAAGAACTTTGAAAACACAGAGATTCAGGAGGGTGTGTCAGCCGAAACTGGAACGCAGAAGTGGAATTCAGGACCCAGGCACAAGACGACAGCTGCATCGTAAAATCAAGAGGCCACCAGATTGGTTCAACAGGAAGGCCTTTGGACTGGAGTTTGTGAAGCAAGCAGCTGTGAGGTCCTTCAGTTTGCAGAAAGTGAGGGACTGGACATTGTGGAGGGGTTGGCCTGCTCCAAAATGGGAAAGGAGCCTGCTCACAGCTTTAGCACTAGATGAGCCAGAAATATGGGAGAACTGGCCACTCGGGATAATTTTGTCCCCAACATTTGGGGGGAAAGAAAAACTTTGGATGATGGTGATATACCTGGCTTGACTGGAACCTTTTCAGAGAGCTGTTCAGGGTGAACAGCACTAAGGCGGGAGCAGGGGGGTCGGTTGGAGAATAAACGCCAGGAGAAGAAAAAAGACAGAGCAACTTGCAGGAATGTTATATTTTAGCATCCTGTTGCACTGATTTATGTTCATGATTTATTCTGACCGTCTTACAGTGCATATATTGATTCACCTTACTCTTCTCTCTTGCACTACATGTTTCAGCACAAAAGTGCCATCTTCAGGTGCTTTTTGATGTACGTCGAACTACTTCATTGCATGCCTTGTTGTGTTTATTCTAAAATAACTAAAATATATAATCGTCATATATATTGATAAATTTTAAATATTAAAAATATTAAAACTGTTCAGGATTTGTCATCCTTATGTCGTATCTCAATACGCAAGTCACACCTATCTTCTTCTATTGGAGTATTCTTCCTACTTTCTTGTGTATATTGTGCTTTGTGTTGTGTCTTGCTCCTGTGACTGCGTGTGTTATACTGCTGGGCCTGCTGGGTATGTGTGTGTGTGCTGTCTTCATTTTGAAGACGAAGAAAACGAAGACATCACACAGAAGAGTACATGAGCTGGGTGAGAACTGCGGGATATTCAAGTCCAGCTCAACTTAAATTATGTGAAAATTATGCAGTGGCTGAGAATGTTACTGCAACAGTGAAGAGTTTTGTGCGGTTTGCTCTTATAATGTTCACATTAGAACATTTGTACTCTTTGCATTTGTTAATAGAATCATTTTCGTTTCCACAGATACTGTTTGTTCTCACAGAGAGCTCTATAGCAATCCGAACCAAAGCAATGAAATGCTTGACAATGGTTGTAGAAGCAGATCCAGCAGTTTTGGGAAGAAATGATATGCAAAGAGGTGTTCGCCATTCGTTCTTGGACCAGTCCACATCCGTAAGGGAAGCAGCGGTAGACCTTGTTGGAAAGTTTGTTCTGAGTCGACCAGAACTGATTGACAAATACTATGACATGCTTTCAACAAGGATATTGGTAAGTTCAGTGTCTCTTGCACTTGAATTTCGATATTCTGACAGTTAACAAGGTCTTCAGTTTCTCTGAGTCACTCATTCACTCATGGAGCTGAGCCCTTCTTGAGAAACTGCCAATTCTGCAGCTACTCAAGAACTTCCCAGCATTTTAGGGAACCCAAAAGTTCATTACCAAGTTCACAAGAGCCCTCCACTAGTCCCTATCCTGAGCCAGATCAAACCAATTTATAACATCACATCCTATCTCTCTTCTGAGATCCATTTTGATATTGTGCACCCACCTACATATTAGTCTTACAAATGGTCTCTTTCCTTCCGGCTTTCCCACCAATATCCTATATGCATTTGTGCTACATGTCATGCCCATCTCATTCTCCTCGGCTTGATGATTCTAATTATACTTGGGAGAAGAGTACAAGATATGAAGCTCCTCGTTATGCAGTTTTCTCCAACCTCCTGTCACTTCATCTCTTTTCGGTCCAAATATTCTTCTCAGCACCCTGTTCTCAGACGCCTTTAGTCTGTGTTCCTCCCTTAAAGTCAGAGACCAAATTTCATACACATTCAGAACCAAAGACAAAATTATAGGTTTGTGTATTGTAATGTTTATGTTTTTGGACAGCAGATGAGAAGACAAATGGTTCTGGACTGAATGGTAGCAAGCATTACCCAAGTTCAATCTCCTCTTAATTTCCTTCTCAATCAGGTTTTGATTTTTTGTAATTGTTCCCAAATATCTGAACTGTGCCACATTTTCAAAACATCTGTTACCTATCTTTAGTTCATGATGTTGCCTGTATTATGGTGGTGAGACTGGGTTTCTCTGAGTACAAGCTGAAATTATTGCGCAGAATACCTATCATTTCACATACTTTCTTACGCCTTTATTTTCCTAAGATCTACAAATGAAAATTGAAAAATTTTGAAACTTAAGGAAAATATGCATTACACAGCTACTCGTGGCATATGCCCCAATTCTTGGGAATAGAATTCAGGAAAAAGAAATTTGTTAAACAGTTGGTACACACATTAAGGGACTGCCTAATACAAATTAATCAAGGAAGATATAAAATCAGGAAAATGAGAATGATAGAACATAAAAATGTTTTCGTACAATAACTTTGGAATATAATGTAAAATACAAGGGTAAGTCAATAAGTAAGTTACAAATGGATATAGAACTTAAAACAAATAAGAGTACTGATTTGAAAAATGCTTTTATTTCTCAACATAATCTCCTTGTACATTGAGGCACTTGTCCCATCGTTTCACAAGCCCCTGAAAACCAGCAGCATAAAATTCTTTGCGCTGCTGTTGGAACCAGGCGGTGACTTCCCTTTCTCCAGCTTCCTTGTCAAGAATATGTTCAGCCAAACAATGATGTTTAAGATGGGTGAACAAATGGAAGTCGCTTGGAGCAAGCTCGGAGCTATATGGAGGATGTTCGAGGACTTCCCACTTGAAGTTTCGCAGCGTATCATTTGTCTTGTTGGCAGTATTCGGATGCGTGTTGTCAGGCAAGAGCAACATGCCTTCGGTGAGGAGCCCTGGTCACTTCCGTTGAATGGCCTCAAGTTTCCTGAGGATCTTACAGTAGGAGCAGGCATTTACGACTGAACATCTTCCCGACGATGAAGCTGTAGAAAGGGAAATTACCACCTGGTTCCAACAGCAGCCCAAAGAATTTTATGCTGCTGGTTTTCAGGGGCTTGTGAAATGATGGGACAAGTGCCTCAATATACAAGGAGATTATGTTGAGAAATAAAAGCTTTTTTCAAATCAGAACTTTTATTTGTTTAAGTTCTATATCCATTTGTAACTTACTTATTGACTTACCTATGTATACATGTCTGAACACTCTAAAAATACAAACGTAAATTTAAATATGGTTCGTTGCGTAGTTTGTAATGCTTTATCAAGTGCACATAGCATCAGTAAGACATAATGGTGATTGTAACTGATGAATGGAAAGGATGTGGAAGAAAATTATTGTAGCCTATTTCAGGGTACAGTCCCAGCATCTCCCTGAATGGCCTGGCAAATATTGTAGATACCTAGTTACTTCGTTCCTTTAATGAGACAAGGAGAACCTTTTGTTTCTTCTTTCCTTGCGCTCTTAGCCTGCAAACTCATTTTCAACTTTGTTGCACCTTACAGTAATTCAGTTCTCAGTATCACATTGATACATGTACTTTCTGGCTGCCATTTGTTTTCGTCTTCATGAAGTGTGACAGCACTGTCATCATTGTTGCTGATACAGTCAACTGAGAAAGCAAAATTCACAAAGCAGTTCTTGATTGTAGTGGATGTTACCAACTTTTACTTCAAAATGCATTGCAGGCAGCACATCCAGCCTCATTTGTGTAGCATGTTGGAGTATTCCCCCATCTGTCATGGCTGCTATGTTCCGAATCATCTGTTTTCTGTAATGACTTGGATGATTCCCAAGTCTAAAGGCTGTAACTGGCTGGTATAGTTATCTGAGAGAAACGTACTTAATGTTGCTGAAAAATGTGGTATTCTTCAGATGAGCAACTCACTGATCAGTGAAAAACAGGATTTTTAACAAGTTGCTATGTAATTTTCAGATGTTTTGTTTGTCATCCATGAATTTATATTAGCTTCATATTTTGTAGGTAGTTTCCTGACATTCTTCAAGTAACATTTTCCAGCTACAAGAGGCAACATTTTATCACTGCTATCTGCAATTGCATGCAAGGTGCACAGTATCCCACTGTTTAGATTTTATTCTACCAATGCAGAAATTTCCTTGAAATGTGATGGCTTTGCTAGTTTGTAATTTGAAAAGTAGACATGTCTCATTGGCATATATCACACAGTTCATAACTTGGGAATCTATGTCTAGCAACTTGCTACCTAGCAACGACTCATTTGTTGCTGTTCGTTGCAGCAGGAATGTGATTACTGAGCCCTTGCCTACCAGTGGACGTCTGCTCTGGCTCCACTATTCTGCCTTTCAGGTGGTGTTTACCAAGCCATTGTCTAGCAATGGATTATTCTGTCACATTATTCTGAGACACGTCAGAATTGAAGGTGACTTAGTGCACAGAGGCTATGTGCAAAAATCGTCTTATGCACGTTAAGGTGTAGTGAAGTCACATGGTACATGTGCAAATCGCTTGTAGCTATGCATCACCCAACTGACAGTATATATTTTTACACTGAGCCATTTGCAATTGCTGGCAGGGAAGGAAGTCTGTTGCCTCAGGTAAAAAATTCTGAATGTTGACCTATAGAACAAAATCTGTAAAAGTTCGTCATCAGAACTAGAAAAATGAAGTGTAGGCTCATGGAAAATGTAACCATGCAGATCCATGAACTCAATTAAAGTTTAACGTTGTGGGCATTCGGCTGGGACCATGCAAAGAATTTATAACTTTATGAAAACACAATTTATGATTGTAGAATCAAAGTTTCACTGTATAAAATTTATCTTACCACTCTGAGAATGTTCTGAAATAGGTGGAATTTTAAGATTACAGTGTTCTAGGATGTAATGCATGTAGTTTCATACAGAGGTATCAGTGTTTCAGAGGAACCCGCTGCCTCCATCTTCGTGCTAGTAGGTCAACGGAGATCCTACAACCTGATGATGAGGCCAGCACGTTTCTCCAAGTTTTGTGTCAACACATCCCATATGACCATAATCTCTATATTGATTGAAGTTAAAACATTAAAGCTTATACAATAATTTATTATTAAAAAATCAAATGTTAATAATAAATCAAGAAAGTTTGTTTTTCTCAGTGTATGCTGTAGCCATGTACTCTTATTACAGTCATTCTCTGTAATGATTTTACTTTTTGCTCTCAGCAGTACCAGTTCTCCCCACCAAAATAATGTAATTTTAATATTTTCAGGATACCGGCGTTAGTGTCAGGAAACGAGTGATCAAAATCTTGAAGGATATTTGTATGGAATGTCCAGAATTTCCAAAGATTCCTGAAATATGTGTGAAGATGATTCGCCGAGTGAATGATGAAGAAGGTAACCTACTCATACGTGTACATTTCATAATAGTTAGGTTGTAGCTGTTGAAATTATGGTGGCAGATTATGAATGAATTTATTTTCACAGCCATTCAATAAACTTGCCATTGATACAATAATTGAATGCACTGCCAGTGCACGTCATAGGACATAAGGAAATATGTTAAGCATGTGTCAGTCTAGAAGTTGAGAAGTACAAGGGTTGGATAAAAAGTAGTGGCAACACTGCTGTAACATGAAAGATGTGCGTCAGGTGACACTAGCGCCGTCTGTAGCTGATAGCAGAAGTTCGGTTGAAGTAGTGCAGTGAGTGGCTCTGGCTGTGTTTCATTGAGTTGCATTGTACATTGTCTTGAAGTGCAGGAGCCCAATTCAAGCGCCCTAAGAACATGTTTACGAAACAAGAACAATGCTCCTGGATAAAAATTGAAGTTGCACAAGGTCGTAGTGCACAAAACTGTTATCAGGGTCTGCAGAAAGCAAGTGGTGATGCTGCTTTGCCATATCACACAGTCGCATGATGGGTGAAATTGTTCTGTGAAGGGAAGGATGCCATTCAGGACAGCCATCATTCAGGAAAACCCCATGTTGACAACCACACAATCCACCTTCTTGCTTCTTTGCTGGATGTCGATCGTCGATGGGCTGCGTGGGAGTTAGCTGCTGAGATAGGCGTATGTCACGAAACCGTGCTCCACATTCTGCATGATATTCTTGGATACCGCAAAATTTCAGCATGTTGGGTACCCCATGCAATGTCCGAGGTGCAACAATGGCAGCGTTATGCAATTGCACAGGTCTTGTTTGGACAGGTACCAGAAGGAAGGCGATGACTTCCTTGGAAGGATCATCACTCTGGACAAAACTAGGGCTTGCTCATACGAACCACACTTGAAGCGACAATCACATGAATGGACGCATCCTGGCTCTCCTTGTCCAAAGAAAGTGCGCCCTACACAGAGTAATGTGAAGGCGATGTTCATTGTGGCATATGACACTGATGGAGTGATACTGCGCCACACTGCACCTCAACGATAGAGAGTAAACGCTGCCTACTATTGCAATTTTCTGCGTAATCATCTTCGTCCAGCATTCAGGAGAAGGCGACGACACTTGTCAATGAACCCCATCATCCTTCATGACAATGGAAGGGCTCATACTGCTGACACTGTCAAGGATCTCCTTCGCCACTGGCAATGGGAGATACTGCAGCATCCGCCATACTCACCTGATATGAGTCCATGCGATTATGATATCTTTGCCAAAATGAAAGAACCACTGCGAGGGTTACGTTACAACACAAGAGAGGAGATTATTCATGCAGTAGGGCGGTCACTGCTGGACATCAACAGAAGTGGACGCACTGATGGTGTACAATGCCTTCCAAAAATTTAGGAGACGGTACTACACATGGGTGCGGTTATATTGAAGGAATGTAGGTGTGTTTACCTCAGGTAATAAAGTCATTTCAGAACTACAGAGGTGTTGCCACTACTTTTTATCCAACCTATATATCTTGATATGAACTTCGGTTTTTGGTCTTGAACTTTAATAATTTTCAGATAACTGCTTTTGCTTTAACAGTAGCACACAGAAGTACCTTCTCCATGATAGTTGTAATGGTTGACAGTGATAGTAAAAATCAATAAATCAACAGAATCCCTCCTCCCCACCCCCTTCTTCTCATGGTGGAAAAAGAACATGACAGCAGAATTGGTTTCTTATAAATAAAATTACTTAAGAAAAATTTTTATTTAATAAGGATCTCATATGAGAAGTGATGAATACTACACTTTAATGTATTGTGAAAATAAATGTTATAAATTGTGATTACACTCTCATTCAGTATATTCTCACTGTCATATTGATTCTTAAAATTTTTCCAAAATCTCAGCTCAAACTGAAAAACTTCCTTTTTGCACATGTATAAATTGTATACTGGAGAAGTTACTAAAGAATTAGACACTGTAAATTTATCTAACTGGATTTTAAAATTAATAGTGAATAGTTGGATTGCTTGTGTAGGTGTAATACTTCTTAACCTTTATCGGACGAACGTCATCATATGATGTCGTTAAAAGTTAGGGCAGCTGGCCGAATGTCATCATATGATGTCGCGGATTCCACGCGTGTAAGGTTTTTTTTTAATATTATATTAAAAATATAAATTGTTGTTCTATTTACATGATTTTTGGTCACCACCTTTATAAGGAGACAG